TAGTATGCATACAAATTATGAAAAGAGGGGGATGCAGACGTAGCACCGCCTTTACAAGTTTATGGATTGTCTGCATTATTGTCAGCAAATCTCAACATTTATGACATTTTTTGGTTTGGGTGTTGAAAAAATACGTTCTGTAGCGACGGTAAATTTGATATTATGAAGGCCTTTGTCTGTTTTCATGGTTTTGCATGCTGACAATTTTCCGGGGTATATTTGTTGTGAGCCCCCCCCCCCCCCCCCCGCCCTCCCCCTTCCTCACCCTCCCCCTTCCTCACCCTCCCTCCCCCTCCCTCACCCTCCCTCACCCTCCCTCACCCTCCCTCACTCCCTTCCGCACACATTCGTGATTGTCAGGTGACTCTGTTAGAACTCTGTTGTAAAACCCGGTTGATATTATTACATCGACATTGAGTGTTTGATACGTAACAGACAAAGAACATGGGTTTCGACGATTTTCTACCTACGCTTGGGGAGTTTGGTACCTACCAAAAGATCATCTGTGCCCTGGTGTCTACCTTCAAATTTCCAGCTGTTACCAATGTTCTCGCTATCGTTTTCCTGGCAACTCCGGCTGACCATTGGTGCTCTGTAAGTCCAGTAAAAGAACGATTAACATTTGCTTAATCTTAAATTCTTTTGCAAACTATGCCTGATTTCAAATGTTCAGCAAATGAACCCTCTCCGATTGCATGAGCATCATGGTCTGTGCTATAAAATTAATTGCGCAAACGATGTCAGATTGTTATTGGTATGTTCTCTTATGAAATTGACCCGAGAATCATCTTTGTTATGTTTCGGGAAAGTGGTCAACGGGAGTTTGTGCATCCTTTCAAACTTGGTATCATGGATTTGGGGCCGGTTGATAAACAACAAAAAGGAAATTAATGTAGAAAATGCTGAGAAAGAAAGTAGACCTTCCAAAAACAAAACAGATTATAACCTGATCAGACTTGTTATATGATATTGCAACCAACTAGCTCCTTATAAGAGAACTGAGTTGTCGTGTGGACGTATTCAGCTTACATTTTTAACACGAGGGTGTGGCAGTGTGAGTAACAATATTCTAAATGGGCACAGGGTCTGCAGTTTTTACTCAAGGGATCTGACTCTGTAAATTGTATCTTACACGTACTTTCACACTTTGCTTACTTCACTAGGTTTCTAACTGGGATACTGCCAACTGCACCGGGTTAGAACTAAATGAAAGCGACTGTGCATTTTACAAGAAACATCTGAGCATTCCACATTTTGTAGCAGACGACCATACGATTGTATACGATCAGTGTCACAAGTACGATGTCTCCCAGGTATCGTTTAGCGATGCAATGTCGTACTTTGCGGAAAACACCAATCAGAGTGGATATCATGACATCATATCATGTGATCAAGGATTTGAGCATGACAGGGCATCGTCAGGGTTGACCATCACTCAATCGGTAACATATTGGAATATGACTTCATCAAACTTTAAAAAAATGTTCGTTCTTCATAAATAATCTTAAAATGCACCAGTTGGATTCAGTATCTGTAAATATTTAATTGCGCTCTTTCATTTCCATATGTTTATATTACTCCTGTTCTTTTGTTCATAATGATAATGTTGTTATGTATGTTATACCCCATTCACAGTGGTTTTGAAATTTGTAGCGGCGTTGTAGCGGAGCGGCGACACCGCCATAACACCGCTACAAATGCATTCACAGTAGAAAAATTATCCCGCTGCAGCAGCGGATAAATATCATGTACCCATTCACGCTGCAGCGGGTGATTTTTATTATCTTTTTAAAAAACTAGCATTTTTATTGCTTCCAGTCAGAATATTTTAATTTTTTGAAGTGTGAAATATTTTTATTTGGATAATTATAAATCTACATAATAATAAAATCAATTTGAATCCACTGGTTACTTTATTTCTATTTCACTTTATGTTCCCCATTGCTGGAGAAAAGAGGTCAGTGATAGGTAAGTAAACAAATCACACGTGTTTGTCGCGGTGTTATAGCGGAGAGCCTTCACACTGAGTAAACACCGCGACAGCAGCGGGACTGTCCCGCTGCTGTAGCTAGGCGAGCCTAGCGATAGTTTGTCGCGGCGTTATCGCGAGGCGGTGTTATCCCGCGATAGTTTATAACGGGTCCGAGCCTTCACACTGAAGACAACACCGCGACAGCAGCGGGACAGTCCCGCTGCTGTCGCGGTGTTTGAGGCCACTGTGAATGGGGTGTTATTTACATTATTATTAAAGTTTTGCACGGTTATGCCTTGAACATTTGATTTCAAGTGAATTTGTTACAATATATTACTATTATTATTATTATCATTGTAATTATTAATACCATTGTAACTATTATTTTTTCAAGAAGAAACTTTTTTCCTTCGTAATTCTTGGCTTAATAACTTCAATATTTGATCAAACATATTGAAAACAAAAGTAATCTTAATCCTTGAATTTATGTCATTCTCACAAATTTTACTGTATTTTTGGAAATCCTTTTAAAGCAAGTTGAACATATTTTCAGGGGATAATTTCTCGTTGTAGTAGGGCCGTGCAAAGAAACTGGTATAGGTATGTAATGGTACATCCATCCGTCTCCCCGGGATGGGAGGGGGTCGCATAGTATAATTGTCATGACGCACGGAAATACAGAGCTTATCAATGTTATTATGCTGCATGTATTATGTCAAACAGTTCTTATACATTGTCAACTTTTCAAACTCTCCAAACTCTCAAACAGTTTGACCTGGTTTGTGACCGGAAATACCTGATCAACCTATCCCAATCCCTCTTCTTCGTTGGCGTACTGATCGGATGTGTGACCTTTGGTGCAATAGCCGATAGGTATAAGGCTTTATACAGGGTGCCCCAAACAAAATGGACTAGCATACTCTCAATGACACGGGGCAAATTCCAACGGTACCACAAGCTAGGGAATCTTTCCGGAAGAAATATGATATCGAATATGAGAAAACTTGTTAGTAGGTATTTTTTGTTATAAACACATTTTTGTATGAAACGGTATTAAAGACATCCACTGGCAGTGCTCCTTGTAGAAAATATTGTATTATGCTTCAGCTTCAGGCAAGCTGTGATCAATGTCAATTTGAACACAAACATAATATTCTACACACTTTTCCCTTTTTTTGGAGGCAATTTAATGACCTTTTACACAGACATGAAATTGATTAATTAGTTTAAAACGAAATTTCGTGGATACTGGAAAAATTTGAACTTTCTAACCTTGCATCTAAAACACATTATTGGAAGTATATATGCTAGTTTGTTTTGTATTGGGTCACCCTATATTAGATTTTTTATTTAAAACAATTCAGGGACGGGTTTCTGTCATGGGAAGAAGAAAAATATTTCTCGAAAAGGTTAGCGGACCTGTAATGATTAGCAGCTAACTTCCTTCGTTACCGGTAGACAATATCTAATAAACCTTTAGCAGGCTCTCTTTTTAAATGTCCCTTGGTGCAACTACGCACAGGGATCTATGATTGCATACAGTGTTGAATGTGGGTGGATTTCTTTTTGGTGTGTGTGTGTGTGTCTATCTGTAATTTTGAGTTTGAGTTTTGAGTTTATTGGTTTCACATTTCACATGTATTTCACAAATATAATACAGATAACAAAATATTCATAAAAGACATATTGTTTCATAATTCAAACAAATTATTATAGTATTAACTAGGTAATCAGACTAAAAAGTTTGTACCTTGATTTCTTTGTTTACTTTGTCCTTTGTACCTGTAGATTCGGGAGGAAAGTAACCCTCATCCTTTGTAACATCATCTTTGTGTTGTTCGGCATTGGTGCTGCGTTCTCACCCAACTATATTACTTTCGTCGTGATGAGAACAATAGAAGCGGCAGCCTGTTTCGGCTTTGCTCTCACCTCGTATGTAATAGGTTAGCCAGCCCACTTTGCATAAAGGAAAACAAATTTTTATAAATTATGATTTGTTTTTCTTCATTTAAAAAAGAAATATATGTTAATTTATTTATTTGGTAATATTATTATTATTATTATTATTATGATTTCACCTCATTTATGGTTTATTTATTTATTTAATTAATACATTTTTGGAGGTGAGGGTAACAACTATCCCTTGAACCCTTTTAATACACCAAATCATGTACATGTATATGTAAGTAGGACCTACACAGATTGCGCACCATACTTAGCTTTGTGCCTGTCAAACTATATATACCAAAGGTACATGTAACCAAAAACGTGTTTTCCTCCTTTTTCGTTGTCATAAGGTATTTCGAAATAGTTCCACCCACTTTTACAAAATCCTTGATTTTTCCTATATATGTGTTGCCCTATTCACCAATAATGTTATATTTCATTGGACATCCCTCTTCTCATGGTTTATTCAGTAGGGATGGGAATTTTACCGGGCTACGAAAACGAATAAATATTTCAAGTTTTAGGTATAAGTCTTATTAGTCCTGTGCCCTTCTATAATAGTTTTGCGGTGGTTTCGGGGGTTTCGGGTTTGCCTAGGATTAAACAGTGTGATGCAAACTCAGGGGACTTAGGACCGATAGTATAACTGCTTTTGGTTACCACTCACAGCCAAATGGGATTAATTTGCTGTGTAAGATACATGCATATATATATACATGCATATATAAATATGTTTTGTTTGAAAATTATCCTGATTGTATATGTAACATGGAAACAAACACATTCGAAAGCTAGAACATATTCCTTTAAAATCTATCCTTAGTGTACAATAAATCACACTTACATTCCCTCATTACTATAGACGGTTTCTCGAAAACAATTAATATGAGTTTAATGCGAAAAATATAGACGAATTCGAATCTAAACAATTTTCAGTTCTAAATTAAACAAAATTATCACAAGTTATTAAGAATTTTAGGGTTCGTAACAATTCATTAATTCATTGATCTCTCCGAGATGAAGTACGGAATTATTTTACTATTTATCAGTTAACGAGACTTTCTTGTAAATCTTTCTTCAGGTACAGAGTTTGTAGGTCCGTCGAAACGTGCGTTTGTCAGCGTCATGTTGACAGCTGTGTTCCCGTTAGGATATATTCTACTCACTTTCTACGCCTATTTGATCAACAATTGGCGCCATCTTCTCCTAGCACTTCATTTGACCTTTGCCCTCTACTTCTTCTTTTACCCGTGAGTATACCTCTTCTTGTTTTATTTCTAATTTGATAAATGACAAGCGAACACCTTTTATAATGGACCTTATGGCAAATTACCCTTGTGCTAAACTAGTTATCTAATCAGGTCTACATTACTGCCGTCGCCGCCGCTGCTGCTGCTACTACTACTACCTCTATTACTAATACTACTACTACTTCTACTACTACTACTACTACAACTACAACTACAACTACTACCACTACAACTACTTCTACTTCCACTACTACCACTACCATCGCTACTACTACTACTACTTCAGCCATATATGCCCCTTTCAGCCTGAAAACATCGAAATTTACAATAGTTAGACAACTGTCACCTCATAATCGGGCTGCGAGCTCGATTACTATACTTGGTCTTTAGTATAGATATATTAAGAGGCCTGGCTGTTTTATATGCTCAAGGGAACGCACGCACATCATGCCATGACCCTGAGGCGCGCATGGGTGTGCTAGTTCCCGAAAGCATATAAAACAGCCAGACCTCGAATATTAAAACATCACGGAAAACTTGAGACACTATCTGTTAATCTTCACTGGATGGGGATTGTAGCATGAGGGCATTTTTAAAAAGACTATTGACAGGTAGGCGGGTATGAGGGCACCTTTCAAAAGACTATTGACTGGTAGGAGGGTATGAGGGCATCGCTAAAATCACGACTGCAATTTCTACCAAACAGATGACTATATTTCTAATGAGAGGTATATAAATCCTACTAAGTGTATTTGATCGACTGCATGAAGTATATTTGAACGACTATTAATACAATATAAAGTTTCTCATTTCTGTAGACAGTGGAATTTCAATATTCACGCAAAAGATGTCAGGCCCCTGGAAAATATAGTATAATTGTGTTAGCTTTAACTTTTACATAAAGGTTCAGGTCAATCATGTTTCCTGATATTCATCGTTTTGTTTATTTAATCATTGTGAAATATTTCACCATGCGTGTATATGAAGTCTTTCGTCTACGGTTGATTGTCAACGAAGCGGAGTTACGTCTTTTGTTAATTTCTTTTGTTGATACGGCAGGCAGCCAGTGAAAACGAATTTGTTTAATCAAATTATGGAAATGAAAGCACTACTTTAAACAAACAGAACTTTGTTATTCCTAGCTCAACATATGAAAGGGCAGGAACTCAACTTTTTAGAAATGTGATTTTCTCTTTGAAATTCAGATACCGCCCGCCAAACGATTTTTCGGCTTCCTCTCTTCAAATTGATTTTAATCACTCATGCGTGAAATTTGCATTATTATGAGTTGCATCAAATGAAAGAAGAGGATCTAAGCTTTCCAAATATGTGTCATTTATGAAATATAATTGTGATTAAGTTATGATAAAACATCGATAATTTTCGGTTTCGTTTTATCTGGGACGCACTGTAGTTCACCATGCGTGTATATGAGAAATGGCATCGTAAAGTTATAAAAGTTTAGCACTTCCTCATGGTTGGGTTTGATGCTAAAGTCCGTGAATTTTAACTGTCTTTTATATGGATTTTAAAATCTATTTTTAACACCTGCCTTGTTCAAACTATTAATATTGAACATTTGTTTGAAACTGGTGTGAGAATTAAAAAAATAAAATGTTGTAAGCATGGTCCTAAATAAATTCTCTACTCTTTAATGTCATTTACCAGTATGATTATATTTTTACATTTGACATCATTTGTAAATTTTTACGAATATAATTACTTTAAGGGAAAACAAATTATATTTCAAATATATACCAAATTGCATTTTGACACCAATCTATAATTTTGTTTATAATTTCCAAAACTTGTTACAGTAGAGCTCGAATGAGGTTACATAAATGTACAAGGCAATAGCAGTATAGTAGTACACTACCAGAAGGATGGCATTTTCAATTTGAACAATGGCTATGATTTTCCATAAGGACAGATTATATGTCTTTATCATCATGTCCCGAAATTAAAACAACAATAAAATCAAGTAAAAATAGTTCTCACTAAAACAACATTGCCTGCTTGTCCGGACAGTTTTATTTTTATTTCCTTCATGTCGATGATTTTAGCTTCATCCCAGAATCAGTACGTTGGCAAATCTCTAAAGGTCGGTATAAAGAGGCTCAAGCAACTGTTAAAAGGGTAGCTAAGATCAACAAGGTCAAACTCACAGATGATTTCTTCTACCAGCACAACTTTCACAAGAAAAGGGTAATGTTCAAGCAATAATAACTTGGCTTTGATGTGCTGAAATCAATAAACGGGTTTTTTATGGTGGAAATATTTTCGACAAGGAAATGTCCTACCATTTCTGTTGATTTATTGTTTTTGTTTTGATACGATTTAAGTTTTGATATTTCATTTAGTTTGTCACTATGTGTGTATGTGTGTATATGCATGCGTGGATACACGGGGGCGACGGGCCCGGAAAGGAAAGGAAAGAAAAAGGAAAGAAAGAAGGGCTAAAAGCACGAGTTAAAAGTGGACCGAGGGAATTCATTTATCCGCAGGGGCGGTTTTACGGGGGGGGGGGGGGGGTTAGGGGGTTTAACCCCACCCCCCCCCCCCCCCTTGGGCTGTCAAGTGAAAATGTGATGTGCATATAAAAACGCCATCATGTGTCCAGACCTTTTAAGGTCTCCATTGTGTTAGTAGATGCCAGGAAAACATCACTTACGGGGGTTCAATATAGCAAAAAATTCGCCTCTCCGCTACGCGGCTCGTGGACAGTGCTCCACAGGAGGTTCAAAATAGCCACACACAAAAAATCGGCTCGCCGCTATTCGGTTCGTGGACGATGCTTCGCATCGTTATTGGTTCAACCCCCCCCCCCCCCCCCCTTAGCAAAAAGCTAGATCCGCCCCTGATCCGTAAATAGGCAGTTCCAACTAACTCAGAGATTCAGGTCGTTTTTAGGTCAGAACTAGCCCTAATTCGTGTTTTATGCCTGTATGATTTAAACAAAAGGCCGATGATCGCTCTCCACTGGGCCTTACAAGTTACAACAATCAAAAGTATATCAGGACTCAATTAGCTTTAGGTCCATCATGCTGGCCGTTACACAATCAGGGAGGGGGTGGCTCAATCCCCATTTACTTTTTGAATGAAGTATGTTAAAGAGAAATATAAGGAAACCAACCAAGGCTCCGGCAAAATCCGGGACCAGATTCACCTAAAAGCCCGATTGAGCGAACTTAATTCAGCAACAACATCTTCATCAGCTGTTCAAATAATGGTAATGATTTAGAAGTCGTTATGTTTCTTACCTGTTTTGTGTCATTTTCAAAATGTCTTTTGGAGTATTTTTTCTAAAACCGAAGACTTATAATATTCACTTTCTCACGGGATTCACGGCAAACTGCAATTGCATAACGTACCTACGGTGGGGCGCGGACGCACGCCTGTGTGAAGTTAGAGACCGTTATGATGAATTGCTTAGATCCTCTTTAAAGGTAAAGACCAGTATTGGAAACGCCCCAATTTCAAAAAATGAAATGGAAGCTCTCATTACCAATCATGTGAAAGAATATGTTTTGACTAATACATGATGATAAAAAATTTGCCGGGAAACCGTCTACTAATTCATATATTTGGTAAATTTGTTTCTCTCATGGTCTGTGAGAGATATAGGGTAGTCCCATACACATCTTTCTGTGTATAGTGCTTGTAACTTTACGAAGAATGGGCCAAATTTCTTATCATTTTGATGATTCCAGAACCTTGCAGATGCTAGATGATCAACCTTTTCTGATCGATTCCACAACGTTTCTTTCACAATGCAATCGCATGACCATAACTAGTCTTTACCTTTAAGTTAATATAACGCGTGGGCGTATGTGTGCGCATGTGTGGGAGTGGTGGGTGTAAGGTTTTCGTTAAAGGCACTTTTCATTTATGAAAAAATTATGGTAAATAACCTTGTTTAGTTTGTTATTTACAAACATTAGCTTACCAATGTAAACTAACAATTCTTGCCTTTACTCTCCACAGAGGGAGATGTTGTGTTCTTTGCTAATATGTACTACCAAAGGTAATTATAGTAAATACTCCTCTTTATTTTCCACAAAGGAAACGACAAATCCTGAGAGGAACCATGATCCGAATCTTATCGATCTCTTTCGAACACCTGTCCTACGAAAAAGAATGATCGTGTTGATCATTGTTTGGTAAGTGCATTGATGTTAATCAGACCGAACGTTGGATTATGAACAAGAAAGGTAATAATAGTGATAATAATAAAGAATTGTTGAAAGGTACGTTTATATTACGCAGATATCCATCATAGGGATGCTCAAGGCGTCGACTGATTAAATGAAAGCATTCAATCAATTCCTCTCTTCAAGATATCTCTTTACTACACCTGGGTTGAGAATGGCATTATGTTTGGTCGCAGATCATGGGTTTCGCGGTTCGAACGGATAAATGCTTGAGCATTGTTTGTTGGTGCATCCACCTGCACGCCGTTTAAATTAAAGGAACTAGTTTCGTCGTGAATGATCTCAACTGACTTATATCGTCGTCTTCGACCTAGGGGTCTTGGTTTACCCTTGGTAAACATATTGATTATTGTTCTCCAGAGTGTTCTTTCTTGAACCATGTACAATTAACTGAGACAAGCGACAGACCTGTTGACTGTTTAGTTTCGTCGGTCAATCTAAAATATTTGTCTGCCTCTTCTCCACAAGCCTTCAGTGTCTCTTTGCTTAATTATGTCACAAAATATCATTATCTACTCGTCTTCAGGTAAGGCCACAGTACTTCAATTGCTACGTTCTATCTTTTTTGTCACGCGGTGGAATGTACTTCCTACTTGATCTCTTACGATGTCATAACTTGTAACTTTCCTTCCAACATATTCTCAACATTTTCTTCTAACAACACATTTCTAAAGCTAAGATCTTATTTTATTCAATCTATCTGTCTTCTAGGATGACGAATAACCTGATCTTCTACGGATTGCATCTAAGCACGGGTAGCTTCGGGGTCAATATCTACCTTAGTTTTCTTATCTCAGCAGTGGTAGAAGTAGTTGCTATGATCATTTGCGTCCCAGTGATCGAACGGGTTGGACGTCGATACAGCCTCATCGCTTGTCTCACCATATCCGGCATCGCTAGTTGTATCGCCATTTTCATCCGTAAGTAAAGTCATTTGGGGAAATCCCCCGAAACGGACATGGCGCGGAATCGACATCGGTCTCGCTGGCGGGCGGTCTCTTGGTTAATCTGACAACCTGTCAGATGTTACGCGGATCCAGGGTTTCTTAGGGGTGGAGGCCCGAATTTGAAATCAATTTGAAATTTAGTGTGCTGAAATTTGAAAATCGTACCGGCCAATATTTCGCTCAGTGGGGGAGGGGGGGGGGGGGTAGTGAGCACTTCTTTTTTTTGGGCCCTCGAAAATTTAAAAAATCACACCCCCCCCCCCCCCCCCCCCCCCCCCAAAAAAAAAAAAAAAAAAAAAAAAAATAAATGTTGGGTCCAGGGGGCGGAGCCCCTGGAAGCTCAGGGGTTTTGGGCAATAAATTACTGTCAGATGAGCATGATTTTATACCTTATTTGTGACACTGGCAGGTCACGCATTAGCGTGGGGTCCGGGGGGCAGAGCCCCCGGAAGCTCGGGGGTTTTGAGCAATAAATAACGGTCAGATAAGCATAATTTTATATCTATATTTTACACTGGCAGGTCACGAATTGACGTGGGGTCAAGGAGGCGGAGCCCCCAGAGGCTCATGGGCGTTAGGCAATAGATTATGGTCAGATGAGCATCCAGGGGCCCGCCTTAGGGCCATTGGTTGGGTTCGGAGGGCAGAGCCCCGAAAGCGTAGGGCTTTAGGCATTTAATTACGTCAGATGAGCATAATTATACTTTATTTGTGACACTGGCATGTAACTAATTGGCGTGGGGTCCAGGGGGCGGAGCCCCTAGAATCTCAGGGGTTTTAGGAATTTCATAACGGTCAGACAAGCATGCAGGGGCCCGCCTTAGGGCCCCTTGTTCGGTCGAGGGGTGGAGCCCCGGAAACTTAGGGTTTTTCGGCATTTAAGTACGGTCAGATGAACATATTTTGATACCGTATTTGTGACACTGGCAGGACACTAATTGGCGTTCCAGGGGCCGAGACCCCAGAAGCTCGAGAGTTTTAAGCATTAAAATTACCGTCAAATTAGCATCCAGCCGTCCGCCTTAGGACCCTAGGTGGGGTACAGGGGGCAGAGCCACCGGAAGTCAAGGGGTTTTAGGCATTTAATTACGGTCAGATGAGCATATTTTGATACCTTCCCCTTCCCCTTTTATTTCCTTCTTTTTTCCCCTTCTTTTTTTTCCTTCTTTTTTCCCCCTTTTTTTCCCCCTTTTTTTGTTTCCTTCTTCCCCCCCCCTTTTTTTTTTTCCTTCTCTCCTTTTCTTTCTTTTTTCCCTTTTTTTCCGGGGGGGGGGGCGGGCCCCCCGGCCCCCCCCCCCCTGGATTCGCCACTGCGCCAGACCGACAGTTTCTTGGCTGTCAGTCTAGTGGGCTCCCGCTCCCATGGTATATAGCAAAGTCGTATCTACAATTCGGAAGAATACCCCCTGAAAAGGAGGAACAAAACTTTGCATCTATAGGGTCCGTAGGGTTTGTAGTTTGTAGATCTTATTTTCTATTATAATGTTTCATGCTTTTTCTTGGTGAGACGCAAGATATTGAATCCGTATTATATCATTTTCCATAATATACTAAGAAGACACAACCCCCCCCCCCCCTCCCCCCTATTGAGTGGTGAAGCGTGAGACCAGTCATTGAGTGGGCACTTGCATCATGGGGGGGGGGGGGTATCAATGATACTAAATGGATGAGATGCAAGAGACCGAAAATGCTTGTTAGTAAGCTACCAGAGGACCGACGGCTTTAATAGGTCATCTCCGAGGGACATTTTATTGATGAATCTAACTAAAATGAGATTATAAACAACAACAACAAAAAAAATCAATTTTAGATTCACGTCCCATTGCTCTCTCTCTCTGGTCATTCTGTTACAGCTGTCGGTGCCGCAAAAACTGGGGTAGCCATGGTGGGGAAGTTTGGTATCGCTGGTTCCTGGGCGGTTGGACTGATATACCCCTTTGAAATATTGCCGACTGTGACGAGGTAACACGCTGATCAATATTGGTCTTAATAACCTCCTATTATTGTTATACTAATATAAAAGACATATATGACGACATTATTGCACCAAGAAAAAGAAAAGAAAGATCAATCCAGTATTAAAACACTGGAGAAGGAGTAAAGACTATTATTGGTATTGCATTTTTGCTCAGAAAGGAAATCAAAACTAAAGATTCAACTGATGTTTCATGTTAAAAACTAATAATAAAGAATTAAATAAGTACATTATTCAATATTAGTCGTATTACATTCATCTCGCTATAATTTGTGTAACTAATTGTTAATAATTTGTATTTTTGGGTACCTTCCTTTTTGATTGTTTTTACGCGAAAGGGAATTAACAGCTGTGCGAATCAGCTACCATATCAAAATCTATCCCATCCTCCTTTCCTTCTCATCCTTAAAAGGAATGTGGGCATTGGCATCTGCTCCTCGGCATCTCGTGTGGTTGCTATAGCAACCCCTCTCATGCTCCTCCTCTATGATGTATGGGCACCTGGTCCTCTTGTTCTCCAAACCATAGCTGCTCTGGTGACGGCCGCTCTATGCCTCATCCTCCCTGAGACCAGGGGCAAGAAGCTACCCGAGACGCTGGAAGATGGTGAAACATTTGGAATGTAGGTTGCCTCTAAAGTACCAATAATAATGACTGTATCATCTGTTAAAGCATTACATTATATTTCCCATTAAACAAAATAAAGTTGTTAATCTAAAAAAGAAAAAGAGCAAATGTCCTTCTATCTTTTTACCAAGTTTAGAATAGACGAGATCCGGTTAAAAGAGATTGGGGAGGGGGTCAATTAACCCCCACCCCTCCCCCCCCCCCCCTTGCACACGTACACATCGGCCAAATGTTAAAAATGTGCTTTATAGACGAATGATGCCTCATATTGTTTTTGCAGGAAATGTTGGCGGAAATTGTGAACAACTCTAACAAACATCAGAAAAACAAGTTAATTTTTTAAAGTTTCTTTTTAGTCACTTCTGACTTTCATACACTGGTAGATACTGGATCTGTGCAATATGTTTAGATTCATGTTTGGGTTATGAATGTGAGCTATAAACAAATTATTTATTGTTTATTGTTTATTCTGTTTTTTTTCTCACAACTCTCTAATTTAGAAAAACGATAGAGGATCGTCACAGCATGGAAAAGTTACCAACAAAATTATGAAGCGGATTGGTGACTGCATCATTACTAATCTGCAATCTTGGGCAAAATCATGGTCAAACCTACAATGCATGCAGGTGATCTTGTGAATGGTTGCACCATCGAATACCTGCAATAGAGCCTTCATCATATTACTGATTGACGTGTTTTATTTCTGGCTGTAATAGTGTGGCCTAATGCATCATCAAATTTAGGCCTTTGAAATAAACAAAAATACCGTCCCTACTTTATCAAATAGTCAAATAACAGAAAATAAAAGTAGATATATGTTCCACAATGGCATGCGAGATATAAAGTAGTTTTTCTTGTTTTCGATAGAGAGTTGGTTTCTGTCACAGTTGACAAGGAATTATTATGTCTACATTAATGAGAAAAAACTGTATAGGTATTGCATATGTAAATTTATAAAAATGAATTTATTATTTATGTTTTATATGTTTTCCCATGTACACTACATGTACATTACAACTGATCAATGGGTGAATGTGGAAACGTAAAGATAAAAATCAACATATTATACACGGTTCAGCATTTGCTAAAAATGCATAAAGCTTGAACTTTAAGGAAAACGTACTATAACTCGACGATCTCTAGTTGCATTGCAATAAGCTGAAGAGAGGATCTCCGACACACACGGATAATTTTCTTAGATCTGACAACAGCTTTAGAGAGAAGTTAGTCCCTTAGGATTATATGCCCGATCAATTATAAACAGCGTTGTACATAGTGTACAGAATATCATTTTGATCTTTAATGACCCAGACGTCGTGGACGTGAACATTGGTAAAGTAATGTTTACATTTGTTTGTTTTAATGCTGAGTGATGTATCATTATTAGGCAATAATGGTGCAAAAGAGTATTTTGTTTTATTCCATAGGATTGATGTTGTTTTGGTTTTTGATGTGTAGGAACTGGAAAACTAAGAATTAAAGAAGGAAAAAAGAATCCCGTATACGGTTATCGCGCAATGTATATACCTTGTATTCTCAGCTCATTTATGTTTTATATGTTTTCATGATTCTTGACTATGATTGAGTGATATTAAGTTTGTGTGCCGTGTATATTTGTTTATACAATGTATTTGTTTGTGTATGTGTTTGTACTTCAGAATCTGAAGAAGGCCTCACACGCCGAAAGCTCGTAATAAACTTGTAAAGTACAGCTACGTCTCACGTTCCTAGACCATTTTCTTCACGCCTACATATTCTGGAACACCCGTTGTCATGTCAGAGTTGAGAATTCTCGCACTTTTATATATATAAAGTGCGTCCCAGAAATAATTAAACCGAGAATTATCGATGCTTTATTATAACTTCATCGTAATAATAATCAATATATGATACATATTTGTAATGCTTAGATTCTCCCTTTTCATTTGATGCAACTCATATGATGCATATTTCACGCATGAGTGATTGAAAATAATTTGGAGAGATGAAACCAAAAATTCATTTGACGAGTGGTATCTGGATTTCAAAGAGAAAATAACATTTCTAGAAAGTTCAATTTCTGCCCTTTCATTTCACACCTCAATCAGGAAAAATGAGCCAGGAATAACAAAGTTCTGTTTGTTTAAAGTAATGCTTGCATTTCCATGATTTTATTAAACGAGTTTGTTTTCACTGGCTGCTTGCCGTAGCAACAAACAGAGTTGACAAAAGACTTAACTCCGTTTCGTTGACGATCAGCAATGCATCAAGTCTTTCGTCTTCTTTGTTTTTAATTACTCATGGGTGAAATATACATCATATGAGTTGCATCAAATGAAAGAGGAGGATCTATAAGCTTTGAAAATATGTGTCATTTATTAATTATAATTATGATTAAGACAGTTATGATAAAACATCGATAATTTTCGGTTTCGTCTTTTCTGGGACGCATATATATATATATATCGACAGATGCTCAGACCTAATAAGTCTCCAGGTTAAGGCCCCCCCCCCTTCTCTATCTCTCTCTCTCCCTTACCTCTCATTTATCTGTCTCCATCATATCTCTTTATTTATCTCCCTCTCTCACTCTCTTTCCCTCTCTATCATACTTTGTATCTATGTTGCTCGCTCTCACTCTCCCTTTCTCCATCTCAGGTTAATTTTTATCTTGTCTTTGACCCTCCATCGAAATTCGATAGGATCTGTCTACCGAAGATTTACCACAGAGCTTTGCCGTATAACCATACATGTCGTTCAAGAAAATTTTGGGATTCATCCCCCTCTTTTCTTTCTTTATATCTGTGATGCTAAGAACGACGAATTTAAGAGGAAATGATTGGGTGGAGGGGTGGGGGGGGGGTGACTCTCTAAAGAGCCTGAGACAATAAGTCAAAGAGAAGGGGGAAATGATGAGGAGGGGAGGGGAAACAGACATTGAAAAAGACACAGGAATGTTGGGCAGTGAAAAAGAATGAGAATGATAGATAGAGAAACAAGAATAAAGAGAGATTGGGTGAGACAGAGCACTAATCAAGAGAGATGATGAGAGGATGAGGTTTTGTCTAGGGGATAGGGTGAGATACAAAGAGACAACTTAAAGAGAAAGAAACAGAAAGCGAAACAGACCATGCAGATAGAAATGAAGAGGTAGAAAGTGGAACACAAAGAGCGTGAACAAATAGGAAGGGAAAGAAGGGGCCAGAGAGGGAGAAAGAGTGAGGGGGAGGAGAAAGATAAAATGAGGACATTAGGAAAAGGCTGTACTAGTTTCATAATGATCATTACAAAGAGACGTCGCTCATCCTCCATGTCCCATTTTCTAATTCATTCATTTAATACACTGCTAGAGGTTTTCAACTTCACTGCTACCTTATGAAAATTCCTATGGAAATTGATAAGGTAGAACAATTTTCAAAGAGACCACCTACTATCAAAAATCGAAGTGACGGTTGCATGTCCGAATGTTGAAAATCCTATACTCATTGGGGAAGAGGGGGGTCAGGAAGAGGGGGTAAGGGAGAGGCAATAGGGACTTTTAGATTTGCGTGGACTGATATGTGTGACGTCCATTCAAGGCAGTGCATTAAAAGGACGTCGATCGTAGCAATCCCCATTGTCTTCGTGCGAATCTAAAAGTCCCTAATGTACCGCCTTCTACGACTGTAGCTGAACTAGTGTACAATACACATTTCTTGACTTATATGTAATCATGTGAAATTACACAAAGATTTCTCAAAATAATTAACAGAAATCATCCGAAGGTACTTTTTTATAGGCATTTCCGTACAGTTTGAAATATCTTTATTAAATGTATTATATTATATTTTCATAGCATATTACGTAAATAGTTCGGTCAGCTTCATGACGCTAAACAATGTTAAAGATGCTCAAGTTTGGGTATATTCATGTAGAGGGCAGCACATGGACACTGCAATAATCTCCCCAAGGAAACTCAGTGTGTACATCGGAGCGGTTTTTGAGTACTGCGCGTATTACCACAATAATTGTACATAATACAGTCATAGCAATGTAGGTACAGGGCATACAAAATGAAATCATGTACGCGTACGTACATGATTTAACAACGCCCATACATTGACCATAGTACATAATATAATCTTCAAATTCCCATCAAATATCAAACAAAACTTGCAAGATTAAATTATTTAAAAGATATCTTACAGAACTATAATAATGTGCATTTTTTTTAAAATTTTTTAATTAATCACATATCGATACATTTGATATTTCTAAACCTAAATTACAAATAGTCAATCGAAACTCTGAAATAGTTGTCATAAAATTGTTGTTATAATGTAGTGAATTTCATGCCCGCAAATGTGACCGATCAGAAGCCTTGAATCTAGGCATGCAGTATATACAATTTAGTATATTCATACATCACATGTTAAATACTTTTCTTACCACTAGTCACTGGAATTCAAACCCGCGTATTACACACACACATGCATTACATGATGAGCAAACGAGTTCTATGGGATTGTTGTATTGAAATTAACCTTGAGTTGATTTCTCGAAAGTCTTTGCGATCGTATTTATGATTGAGGTTCTTCAATTGCCTTACTTACGTCTCATTGGAGCCCCCCCCCCCCCTTTACACTCCCCAAAACCAGCGAGGGCTGCCTAAACTAAGGCCTACTAGAATGGCTTCCATGTAACCTGATGAAGATAAAACACACACAGAATCAATGGACCGGTTAAACAATCGACCCCACAACTAAGTGTAAACGCGCCTGACGACAAATGACTCACACTAGATCAGTTTCCTTTCTTCGGATCTTTATTCAATGTTTAATCCAACTAGTGTCGTAACAATGATAACTTTGGATGTGTAGCGTAGTCTTGTAGCGGTTCACTAAGAGAAAAGATAACAAATCTTCGTCATAAATAACATGCTCTAGTTAGAACAAAGACTATTTGTATGTTTAAAGCAATGAACAACAATATATGTCATCTAGTGTAATCTGCTTGGAGCATGTCTGTAATAAACTCAAATGGATGCATTAACCTGTTTATATCAGAGTAATTAATTATGTTTCTTCTACTAGCATAACTTAAATCATGTATACCTACTATTCTGAAACTGAACCTTCTGAATCATACATCAAGGCTATTACATCCTGGTTGCTTATTAATGAATTCTTTCCACAAACAACATCATAAACGCTCTTAAATGATAACGTTTGAATTACAAAGGACCTGGGCCCCCTTTCCAGCATTACAATACATTAATTTAGTAAACAAATTAAACTGATCCATTACTCTATACCCATACTGGTACATGCACAACTTATCACAGCTTATCACTTATACTGTAACCCAACTGGTAAATACGAACTAAACTAAATGATTACCCAACTGTGCATCTTGCAATTTCTCCAATGAAACATGAATAATTCAACACAACAACACGGTCCCTTATCCGACCTAATTTACATGAATTAACATATTGACTGCCATTATACCCTTGGCATTTCTATCTAATATCAATCGTACAATGTATAAACCATATAAATGCTTCTTGTAGCATACTGAATCATTAACCATAACTGTCTGATCATATGCACTCTGTTCACTCCTTGGTACAACCCCCTCTGCTTATTTAGCACACACATTGTAATTTAACCCAGTTCATGCAATGCGTTTCATAGCCCCTTAGCAACACATAGCAAAACATAGCCTTCTGTACATAACGTTGCGTTAATCATCCAAAATCAACTCACTATTTGCACATAATTCACAGGAAATAAACAATCGTATGAAACAACTACTTTCCTATATTTGACAGTAAATCAGTTATCTACAGGAATCATGTATCGTAGCTTACCAACTATTTGTTCATCCGGAGCAAAGTCATGAATTCTGTGGTAACAAACCAGGCGCGGATCCAGGATTTCCTAGGGGAGGGGGCCCAACTTTTTTTTTTTTTTTGCTCCCGAAAATTTGAAAATCGCGCCGGCCGAAAAGTCGCTCAGTGGGGGGGGGGGGGGGGTAGTGAGCACATTTTTTTTTTTTTTAATCCTCAAAAAAATTCAATTTGCACCCCCCCCCCCCCCTTGAGCGCCAGGGGGGGGGGTGGGGCCCAACCCCCCAAAAAGGTAAAAATCACGTGGGGGGGGGGGGGGGGTAGTGAGCACATTTTTTTTTTTTTTTAATCCTCAAAAAAATTCAATTTGCACCCCCCCCCCCCTTGAGCGCCAGGGGGGGGGGGGGCCCCAACCCCCAAAAAAGGTAAAAATCACGTGATTTTACATGATTTTTTTTCTCAGGGGGGGGGGCACGGGCCTCCCCCCCCCCCCTGGATCCGCCACTGTAACAAACATCAAGTCTGATGCCTTTGATCAGGAAGCTGTAATGAATGGAGATCCCGTCCAAGAGGCCCCTTTGAAGCCATCCGTGGCACCGCGTGTCTTTTGTTTCCCCTACCGTACTCCCCTTAATCCCCCTCCGAAACCGTACTGCTCCCTAGTAGCACTAGGTCCTCCCTTTCCACACACATCCCAGCCCAGCGAGCACGGCGGCTTTTGCTTTGTGGGCCCGTATTTTGGGTGAATAGTGGTGATAACTTGACAACTTCTAGCCCTCAATCAATAAATGCGCAAACATATAACACAATTTCATTTAGTTCTTTAGGAATATAAACCTTTAGACTACCTTCCTAGCTATGTACAAATTTCGGAAATTTTCGGAAAATGTCAATAATTAGATGAGAAAATCATGATGATGAAAACCTTTCATTCGCTCTAACTCACGATTTCCTTGGTCGATTTCGCTGGTTGAAATGGCCATGCATTCAGTAGAGCTATCGGAGAACAGAAAAAGCATTTGATGACTAATATAAAGTTGCAATGGTCTTATGCTGTTAATTCTGTATTTTATATGTTATAGCTAAATACATCTTCACTGAACATGACTTACTTTTTCGGTGCCACGCATGGCTTCAAAGCTCGATGCTTGCATATTTTTGCAAAAGAGTGAATAGAGAACTTAGAGAAGCAGATGGCGTTGCGTAACATTTCGTACTGTTTGGAATTCCAGAGAGGGACTGTGTATTGATATGGACAGCTGTTGATGGAAATGATGGTTGGAGAGGGTTACATTTCTTTTTGTTAAGCCAGGTTAATCTTGAATATTTTTCCCTCGGAAAATTCTTTCGAGACGGTATCTCCATTCATTATAGCTTCCTGCTTTGACTAGGCTTTCTGTTGCACAAATTTTCTTAATGCCACCGATGGCGCTATACAAGTTTGGCGCCGCCACAGATGGCGCTATACAAGTTTCGCGTCGCTACACTGTCGCTACACTTTATCATTAACAAAACAGTGTATTCTTTTGAGTCTGTCTCTTCCAAAATGCTCTATAACATTTTTATTGCTATAATACAAGATGCATTTGCTTTTAAACATCCAGAGGTAATAGCTTTAAATCTAGATAAGTCGGAAACTACAACATGTTTCTCAATCCCTAGATTTTCCACTCTGGATAGGAAGTTAAGGGAATTTCAGTATAAACTTTTGCATAACATCATCTTTTGTAATGATAAATTGTATCTTTTTGGATTAACACAGTCAAATTTATGTTCCTTTTGTAGAAAAGAAGTAGAAACCTATCGTCATATTTTCTTTGAATGTTCTGAAGGGTCCAGAATATGGAATGAGATGGGAAACAGTTTAAAGATGTTTCAGTTTCTTAATATGCAATGGATTGATGTTTTGCTTGGTTTCAGAAAAAATATGAAAGATAATATATTGTTAAATCATGAATTGATTTTGGTCAAATATATGATTTACAGGAATCGTAAAAAAGGAAAGTTCCCATCTAGTAAAGAAATATGTAAGGCTGTAGAGAACTCAAAAAAAGTTGAACATGAAAAAGCAAAATTAAAGGACAAACTGCCAATACATTATCAAAAATGGGGAAATTTTACCCCTTAAGGCAGGGAAACTGATTGTATTATATTGTAATTCCTTTTTCCTGTTCACTCCCTCACTTTCTCATCGATCCGGACACTTACCTGCTATCGTGTTTGCTTTGTTGTTTATATTTTATATTTTTATTTTTTTAAATAACGGTATAGTTAAAGACCTCTACTGATACAAGACCCTTATATAGTTATAATAAAAAATGCACCATAACATTATATGTAAATATAACAAATTTTGTTATCATGGTTTATGAAGCAGCACCTTCACCTTATACTTTTTGTTTATATAAGAAAATCTTTGTTCAGATTGCTTAATGTATATTGAATTAATTAATTTGCTTATTATGTTGTAAAAATTGTTCCTTTGTATATTGTGGTACCCAAGTATTACCGTCACCTTTTCCTTTTTAAAGGAATTGGAGCATATTCTGTACACTTGTTTTGAATGTGTACTTTATTAGTTTGGATACTCATGGAAAATATTTTTTAAAGATGTCTGTGTTTAAAATGTATGAGACAATGTACTACATGTATGTTTATACTGTAAGAACAATTGTGTTCCTATTCATCATTTTGTATAATTATGAAGATCTGAATAAAGGCAAAAAAGTTTTTTTTTTTTTTAAACTGTAGAAATAACATTGTCTTTCATCCAAATAATTACTACATGCGAAGATGAGTTAGGTTGCTTTACAACTTTACTGCTATGATTCTTGTTACAATCTTACAATCTTACATGGTGCTACTTATGATTACAACTTGTGTGTTGGCAACATGTCTGTATAACACAATGTGAGTTACCGATTTGGGGGGGGGGAGTCATTTCGAATAGTTTCCCTAAGTCTTGAATCACACCCTAGCACTTCAATTCACAATAAGCCAGTTCACGGTTGCAGTCTGCGCATGAGCAGATAAAGGTCATTGCAGAACAAATTGTGAAATACACGGAGACGAAATACTGGAAACGTGCTCATGAAAGTTATGTAATCATTATTCAATTATGCACTCCATGATACACAGGTGGAAGTATTCTTTGAAAAGGGGAAACAAAGGCTATTTATGTAGCACCTCCATCGCTGTAGGAGTGATTATTTCAAAATGTACAAAGTGGGACCTCTTCATGTTTTGAAGATCTGTGGATATTCCGGGTCATTGCAGTAATGTGCTAACCGTGAACTGGTCTATTGAAGTAATTGAACCCTGGCTTTAGTGTTAATCAAAACTTTTGATATTATTTCTTCTTCTTTTCCTTCTTGTCTTGAAGAAAAAAAAAGAGCGCAATCGTGATATATTCCATTCTAATACTACATCTTGTCTAAGTCCCAGTACCAGTTCTAGGGAGTAGGATAGGTCGAGAGTAAAACAGACTTAAGAAATATAAAACATGATGACAAGTTTTCACGAAACCAATGGCTTCCGCAACTATTCGAGCTTCTTTTGTCTCAGTTAAACAATCCACGACGCACTGAACGTTCTACCAAATGAGAGTCCGGATTTGGGAATAATACAATGGAAAAGCATTAAAACAAACTGAATCGGATTTGCAGCAGCTAAAGCACCACTAGAATTGTCCAAGTCAACGTAAATTTAAATTCCAGATCACAATTTAAAAAATAAAGTATGTGGCGTGCCTTTGTCTTGCAAATAAATGTGATAGCATAAACATCAGGCACAGGTGCGTATGCAGGATTTTTTCAAGGAGTGAGTTTTAACATTTATAAATCGGGCCGAAAATTTTCGCAACGACTCAGCCAGCCGCTGAATAAGCGTGGGGGGGGGGGGGGGGGGGGGTAAGAGGACACTTTTCTCTTCTTTTTTTGGTTTCGAAATTTGAAAATTTGACATTTTGCTCCGTGGGGGGGGGGGGAGTAAGGTCAGCTTTTTTGGTCAGCCATAATAATAATAATAATAGCTAGTTCTTATATAGCGCTTTTCAGGACCGAAGGCCCTCTCAAAGCGCTTTACAGATATATATATTATTACCCCGGTCATAGGATTCAGGCTTACCCGCACACAATGTATGCACATTCTCCACTCCCTGGGGAGCATTCCAGCCAGGCGTCTTTTTTACAAGCGCACACGTGCTAATCTAACCACATTAGCTTTCGCATCCTACCGGGTACCCATTTACACCTGGGTGGAGAGTGGCAAATGTAGATCAATGTCTTGCCAAAGGACATTAGTGCCGCGGTGGGACTTGAACCGCGAACCTTGTGATCCACAGTCCGGTGACATATCCACTCGTCCACGACACCCCTACATGGGAATATTTTTTTATTTTTTTAGATTTTAAAAAATCTAAAGGGGTGTGTTTTAGGGGGTTTAGGGGGGTTTACACACAGAAAAATACCAAAGGGGGGGGTTTAACCACCCAACCCCCCAACCCCCCCCCCCCCCCCCCCACCACCACAAAGATGATATTTTAGTGTCTGATAATTTAATTTATTATTTGTGTCCAAGAAAGTGATGAAATAAGTTGTCAACTTTGTCGAAATATGCCAATTTTGCCAATTTGACCATTTCTGGCAGGTTTTTCGGTAATTTTGCGATATCAAAAAAATGGTATAAAATCACAACGCATTGACCGGTTTCAATTCTGTTTTTTTTTTTTTTTAAAGCTTTCATAAAGCTTGATCATTTGCAATCATCAGATAACATGTGTTTATTGTACTTATTTTTGGTGTGCTATACCTACTAGTAGTAGTAGTAGTAATAGTAGTAGTATTAGTAGTAGTAGTAGTAGTAGTAGTGGTAGTAGTAGTAGTAGTAGTAGTAGTAGTAGTAGTAGTAGTGGTAGTGGAAGTAGAAGTAGTAGTAGTAGTAGTAGTTGTGGTAGTAGTAGTAGTAGTAGTAGTAGTAGAAGTTGTTATAGTAGTAGTAGTAGTAGTAGTAGTAGTGATAGTAGTAGTAGTAGTAGTAGTAGTAGTAGTAGTAGTAGTAGTAGTAGTAGTGGTAGTACTAGAAGTAGTAGTAGTAGTAGTAGTAGTAGTAGTGATAGTAGTAGTAGTAGTAGTAGTAGTAATCAGGGGCGGCGATTTCTTTTCATGTCCGGGGGGGGGGGGGGAACGAAATGCGAGATTTTCTACAATATTAACTAGTACATTTTTGAAGGATTTTATGCGAAGGAGCGTAGCGACCGAGCATGAAAATCTTTATTAGTCTTAGGCCCTCCAGCCCTCTCCGACTCGTTCAATATTGAAATAGCTAGAGCAATATATTCTTGTATCACACTCAAAGCCATCCAATATTATATTAATACCATATGGCACCGAAAGAGAGTTGTAGGCCAAGGAAAGTTCTATCTATATGTAAATGAGACAAAATGTGAAAGTATAAAAAATGTCGATTTTTAACCACGAATGTAAAATGTATAGACCATATGTTGATCAATAGGGGATCGTGGTAATGTGTAGAACATAGTCAAAATATTATACACGGTTCAGCATTTGCTCAAAAAGTATAAAGCTAGAACATTAAGGAACAACGTACCATTAAACTCGACGGTCTCCAATTGCATAGATAAGAGGATCACCTACAGACATCGATAATTTCCTTAGATCTGACAACAACTAGAAGGTAAATGTTTTCCATATAGCATTATATGCCCGATCAATTATAGAAAGCGTTTTGCAACGCCGTTTAATAAACAAATATGATTTTGAATAACGAGTAAAACTACATCCAGTTCAGTTTGTATGTTGTTATGCGGAGTGATGTAACATTCTCAGGCAGTTATGGTGCAGAGGAGTTTCAGACAGCTCTTCTGATCGCGGTAGGAAAAGGAATGCATAGAAATAAAGATTTTAACAAAGCATGTATGTTATCGCTCAATATATGGCCTTGTATTCTCTACTCACCCTTTTAACACTTTTAAAAACAATTGAGGGAGATTTGTGTGTAACACAAAACAAAGCAAGAAATGTATAACTAATTAATATATGATTTTTTTGGGGGGGTATTTTTTGTAATTCAGTCTAACTGAACTGGTTACTATTATTTATGTTATTTAACACAGTAGCCAAGGACACTACCTAGCATACTGACTGACTTGCGTCAATTATAATTTCATGTTACTCTATACGAGGCGTAATAGCGAATGTATTACTCCCTGCGCTATTCAAGAATGTAAATTGTAATCGTCCACATACCCCTAATTGAAATCAATGTATACTGTTCATTTCGTAAAACTTTATTGTTTGTTTGTTTCTGTGTTCCTGTCTGGGTTTTTTTATTATTATTTCATTATTGAAATCAAAATTCTTGCCCCAAACCATAAAAGTCACGACGCCGTCTTACAACAAGCAAATGTGACGACTATGTGCACGGGCCCAGCTAATGTTCTGTAATTCGCTTGACACTGATTTTGACAAGCCATGTACCGTACAAAAAATGAATGTAAAATGATCATTGCAACATTGCGATAAATTATTTTGAGCCAACTTATTTTACATGCTGAGCTAGTTCAGTTGATCACGTGATGGAAATAACGCCTCTAGTACATCATGGATTTTCCATTATCATCTAGGTTTGAAATAGAAAATGGCATCGAAGCTCATCAATGCTGCGTTTCTTCTGGTCGTTCTTGTGGGCGCAACCATTGCCAACACCACAGGCGACGTGGAACGAGACAGCGAGACCTTTCCCCTTAATATGGACGTTGATGAGGAGATACAACGTAAGCATTCCATTGAACAATTTTAATTATATATGTCAGATTGTTATGCTCTGACATTATTTGCAAAACAAAGGCATGCCATGTACTTTATTTATTGAATTGTAATTTTTAATTTGAATTAAGATTGACTTGGACAATTTTATTGGTGCTTTTACTGCTGCAAATCCGATCCGTTTTGTTTTGATGCTTCTCCCGTTTGTATCATTCCAAAATCCGGATTCTTATTTGGTAGTTCGTGAATTGTGTAACTGAGACAAAAGTAGCTCCAAAAGATAGAGAAGCCAAAGGTTTCGTGAAAATTTGTCATCCTGTTTTATATTTCTCAAGTCTGTGTTACACTCAACCTATGTCACTCCCTAGAACTAGTACTTGGTCTGGGACAAACGGGCATTAGAACGGACTTTATCACGATTGTGCTCTTTATCAAAACGCAAGAAGCAAAAGAATAAGTAGTGATAATAAACGTCTCGATAAAGACTATTGCCATGGGTGGTAGTCTTAAATTCTTTACCACGATATGCTCCTATACTTTATGATTTCTGGACTAACGGCTCTTCGCTTAATACAATTATTTGCAAAACTATGGGTTAAGATAAAGTTCAGTTGTGAGTTGGAGTCCTAAATGTTCACTTGAGTTTAAGGAAAACCAGTAAAAATGACTTCCCCCACCCTCCAAAAAAAAATATATATACATATATTTTACTAAAGGCGTCATTAGAGGGACATTTGGAGTGAAAAATGAGTCATTAAGTAGACATTGTGATTAGGAGGACAATTTGGTGTCCTCTTAAACGTTTTTTACGTTTTATTTCTCGTGGAAGGCCCAATTTTGTTATATATCTCTCTCTATATATGTGATTTCACTAAAGGCGTCATTGGAAGGACATTGGTAGTGAAAAAATGAGTCATTAAGTAGACATTAGGGTTAGGGTTAGGTTTAGGATTAGGTTTAGGGTTAGGGTTAGGGTTAGGTTTTAGACTTAGGGTTAGGGTTAGGGTTAGGGTTAGGATTTTTATGATGTCCACTTAATGTACCATGTAGGGTTATATATATATATATATATATATATATATATAAACAAAATCAATAGTTCACATTATGTATACAAAGAAATGTTGCCAACACGCAAGTTGTAATAAACTAGCAACATACATATATGTAAAATAGTAACAAAAATCATAGCAGTAAAGTTGTAAAGCAACCTCAAGTTCAAGTTCAGTTTATTTCACTTCCAATAAAAACACAGCATTATAACATTCAAAATACAATTATACAAAATGCAATATATATAAAATATAATAAGAACAAATAAAACAACAACAGTAACATTAACAATGATTAATGGGTGGAGTAGGGATGTGAGGGACCAGAAAAGGCCATTGACCTATTTAGGCTGGTCCCCTTTTTCTACAACCCCAAAAGTAAAATCTTCAGTAATTAAAAGCAAAATATTGACAATATAGACATTACATTAACTAAGACATATATACACGCATACAAGGACAGGCATAATTAATAAAAGCTAAAAAGAGTATATTATAACTTGATATTTGTTTGTTTTTAAAATTACGCTTAAAAACTAGACAATGTTGGGCATGCTTTGAGAGAATATGGTAAGTTATTCCAAATAATGGATCCTTTATAGTTTATTACTGTTCTTGACAAATTATAGCGAAATGAAGAAACATAAAGTTTGTGTGAATTTATAGTACTATATTGATTTATGTCTCTATCAAAAATAAAATAATTATTAAAACAATCAGGTAAAGTAGTTATATTGTACATGTAAGCGAACATAAAAGCTCCAATACTTATATCATATAGATCATAACGTTTTAAAAACTTCAACTTAAAAAACAATGTACCTGTATGTGCTCTATAATATGAGTTTGTTATAACCCTGACGGCTCTTTTTTGTAATAAAAATAGCTTTTGAAGCAAATACGAAGCGCAATTGCCCCATACAATAATACAATAATTAAAATAAGGCAAAATCATAGAGTTATACAATTGTACAAGTATGCGTAATGGTAAAATATCTTTGAGTCTATTTAAAACACCAATGACCTTTGACAGCTTGTTAGAAATATAATAAATGTGGTCCTTCCACGTTAAGTTTTCATCAATAATAATGACGCCTAAGAAAGTAACTTGGTGTACTTGCTTAATTTCTTTACTATTTATACAAATCTTGATAGCAGCTTCATTTACATATTTATTTTTTGTTTTAAAAATTACATAGTTTGTTTTTTCAAAATTAATCAACCATTTTTTTGCAAGGAACCACTTGTGTATTTTAACAATTTCAAATTCAATATAATATTTATTTCTACGGGATCTTTACCAGATAAAAACAGAGTGGTGTCATCAGCAAATAAAATAGAAGATAAAACATTGCTTACAGATGGCAAGTCATTGATATACAGTAAAAACAAGAGCGGGCCAAGATTAGAACCTTGCGGCACACCAGTTAAAATAGTGCTGTGATCAGAGTAATAATTACCAGAGCTAACATATTGCTTCCGGTTCGAGAAATAACTTTTAATTAAAAGAAGAGGAATTCCTCTTATACCATAAAAACATAACTTATTTATTAAAATATTATGATCAATACAATCAAAAGCTTTGGATAAGTCTAGAAATACACCAATTAAAAATTCATTAAGTTCAAAAGCATTTGCAACTTTATCAATAAAATCAAGAAGAGCATGGCAAGTACTGTATCATTTTCTAAAAGCAAATTGATTTTCATACAGAATATTATTTTTACTAATAAAACGAGTCAATTGATCACATAAAATCTTTTCAAATATTTTGCTAAAAACAGATAACACGGATATCGGCCTACAATTATTTAAAAATGACTTATTGCCTTTTTTAAAAACAGGAATCACCTTTGCAATTTTTAGAGCATTGGGGAAGATACCTTGTTCAAAGGACAAGTTTAAAATATTGCACAAGGGTGTAACAATCATATAAATCGAGTTTTTCAATACCTTAGGGTGAATTTCATCGTATCCTGGACTTTTATTTTCATCAAAATTCAAAATCACATTAATAATATCTGCGTTAGTAACAGGCTGTAAAAATAATAATAATAATAGCTAGTTCTTATATAGCGCTGTTCAAGACCGAAGGCCCTCTCAAAGCGCTTTACAGATATATATATATTATGAATTCAAAAAATTACCCTTCAAGTACTCGTCGTATTTTGTTGATTCAATATTGCAAGTAATCAAGTTATCAATACTTTGCTGTAGTTCTTGCCCGATTGTACAAAAATAAGAATTAAATATATTTACAATTCTTTGTTTATCAGTAATCTTTTCCCCATCATCAACTACAATATCATTGATACCATGCTTTAATGTTTTCTTGTTTAAAATTGCATTAATAAGTTTCCATGTTGCTTTCACATTATTACGAACATTATCAAACTTAGAGTCATAGTTTGCACATTTATTTTCCCGTATTAAATTATTTAAGACATTCCTGCATTCTTTATATGCCATTTCACTTATTAGTGGTTGAGTTTCTTAGGTATTTACGATATAATATGTGCTTACGTTTACTCAGCTTGATTACCTCTTTTGTTACCCAAGGCTTATCAACTTTATTTTTAGTTTTAACTATTTTAACAGGGAAACATTCATCGTAAATATCCTTATATAATTTAAAGAAATAATTGTATGTATCATTCGCATCACAAATATAATTAAGTCGTTCCCATTTAACTTTGTTCAACTCACTACAAAAATGCTTCATATTTTCTTAAGTAAAATCAATTTTTCGCACTTCAATATCAGGTTCAGAATCAGAATTGTTTGACTTCAAAATAATAAACGGTGTTAAATGATCACTGATATCTGTTATCACTATACCATATTTTAAAACTTTTCTTGGCAAGTAATTATACAGGTGAGAGAAATGTTATTACGTCTGGTGTAAATTGTTTAACTGGTCCAATATGTGTGTGTTTATTTTTTTCTCTCCAGATGACATGGGAGATGTTGAAGCTGTAGCAAGGTGGGACAGGGACCCAGAAAGTGTGCTGGATAACGGGATAGGATGGTAGAGGAGTGTACAAAGGCGCCAATGAGACGTAAGTAAAGGCAATACTAGAACCGCAATTAAACAGACGATCGCAAAGACTTTCGAGAAATCAACTCAAGGTTTATTTCAATACAACAATCCCATAGAACTCGTTTGCTCATCATGTAATGCTTGTGTGTGTGTAACATGCGGGTTAGAATTCCAGTAACTAGTGGTAAGAAAAGTATTTAACATGTGATGTATGAATATAATAAATTTTATATACTGCATGTCTAGATTCTAGGCTTCTGATTGGTCAAATTTGCGGGCATGAAATTCACTACATTATAACAACAATTTTATGACAACTATTGTGATAATCATAGTTTTCGCATGTTTCAAAATGTATGGACATGGCTATAGAAATTACCTTCGGCTGATTTGTGTTAAGTATTTTGAAAAATCTTCAGGTAATTCCATATGATTCCATATAATAACGTGTCTTTTATACTAATTCAGTTACAGTTGTAGGAGGCGGTACATTGCCCCCCCCCCCCCCTCCACCCCCTCTCTAGTACTGTGGAAACGAAGTGGTCTCAATGAAACTTGTTCTACATTATCTATTTCGATAGGATTTTTTTTATAAAATGGCAGTAAAAGTGAAAACACCAGCAGTAGATTAAATGTTGGAATGATTAAAGAAGGAAATGGAGGATGAGCGAGGTGTCCACCCTCCCCCCCCCCCTCTCTCATATTTTTCTTTGAATTTCTATAATCAGCTGCTGATTGTGAACACAGTGGCATTATGATTTGTTTGGGGTAGTTATGATGAGATTTGGAACTATTTGGAATCTTTAAATTAATTCAATCAGTTAGTGGAATAGATATTCAGCAAAAACAACAAATTAACATTCGTTTATAATCATGTCAACTGTTTTGAAAATGTGTTTTATCTTACTAAGGAAGCATACAAAGCCTAATAAAACAAAATTATTTTTTCAGACACAAACCTATCCATTTCGGTCTATACTTTTGTTAGGTCTTTCAAGCAGATAAGACAGGTCAATACAAATGCATCCCTTTTCAATGTGCACAAATGTTGACTGCCTTTAAAATGTTTATGATATTCAAAAGAGTGTGTCACAAAGATAGAGAAGATGTCCTTGTTTTGATCAAAGTTATGTTTGTTGACTTTTCACAATCTCAGATGCTTAACATGCCTCTCGAGGACAGAGTCAGAGAAAAATGGAACATCGAAAAGAGCTGACAGGCCGACGTGATGAAGGGCCACTATCTCCTCTGGTTCGATCAATTTGGGAAAAGGTCTAAATAGTCTAGACTACACCTCTTCAACATTAAATATGTAGTGATAATTCAAGAAATGTATTTATCATTTTAGTAAGTTTATTGTTACTAAAAGTCATTTAAAAAAATACTATCACCTGTAATACTTGAAACATTAAATGAAGCACCTCACCAAACCACCAGAGTCTGTGTTTCTAACTTTCAACGTTTAAGTTGTTGTATCTCTGTAGTGAATACTATGAAACTAGTACAGCCTTTTCCTAATGTCCTCATTTTATCTTTCTCCTCCCCCTCACTCTTTCTCCCTCTCTGGCCCCTTCTTTCCCTTCCTATTTGTTCACTCTCTTTGTGTTCCACTTTCTACCCCTTCATTTCTATCTGCATGGTCTGTTTCGCTTTCTGTTTCTTTCTCTTTAAGTTGTCTCTTTGTATCTCACCCTATCCCCTAGACAAAACCTCATCCTCTCATTATCTCTCTTGATTAGTGCTCTCTTCCCATATTTTCTGTCTCACCCAATCTCTCTTTCTTCTTGTTTTTCTATCTATTATTCTCATTCTTTTTCACTGCCCAACATTCCTGTGTCTTTCTCAATGTCTGCCCCCCCCCCTCCTCATCATTTTCCCCTTCTCTTTGACTTATTGTCTCAGGCTCTTCAGAGAGTCACCCCCCCCCCCCTCCCCCCTCCACCCAATAATTTTCTCTTTAATGCGTCGTTGTTAGCATCACAGATATAAAAGAAAAGAAAAGAGGGAGATGAATCCCAAAATGTTCTTGAACGACATGTATGGTTATACGGCAAAGCTCTGTCGTAAATCTTTGCTAGACAGATCCTATCGAATTTCGATGGAGGGTCAAAGACAGGATAAAAATGAAACTGAGATGGAGAAAGGGAGAGTGAGAGCGAGCAACATAGATACAAAGTATGATAGAGAGGGAAAGAGAGTGAGAGAGAGAGAGAGAAATAAAGAGATATGATGGAGACAGATAAATGGGAGGTAAGGGAGAGAGAGAGAGAGAGAGATAGAGAAGGGAGGGGGGGGGGGGGGTAAGCCTAACCTGGAGACTTATTAGGTCTGAGCATCTGTCGATATATATATATATATATATATATATATATATATATACAATGCGTCCCAGAAAAGACGAAACCGAGAATTATCGATGTTTTATCATAACTGTCTTAATCACAATTATAATTAATAAATGACACATATTTTCAAAGCTTATAGATCCTCCTCTTTCATTCGATGCAACTCAAATGATGCATATTTCACCCATGAGTAATTAAAAACAAGGAAGACGAAAGACTTGATGCATGGCTGATCGTCAACGAAACGGAGTTAAGTCTTTTGTCAACTCTGTTTGTTGCTACGGCAAGCAGCCAGTGAAAACAAACTCGTTTAATCAAATCATGGAAATGCAAGCATTAATTTAAACAAACAGAACTTTGTTATTCCTGGCTCATTTTTCCTGATTGAGGTGTCATATGAAAGGGCAGAAATTGAACCTTCTAGAAATATTATTTTCTTTTTGAAATCCAGATACCGCCCGTCAAATGAATTTTTGGTTTCCTCTCTTCATTTCAATCACTCATGCGTGAAATATGCATCATATGAGTTGCAACAAATGAAAAGGGAGGATCTAAGCTTTACAAATATGTGTCATATATTGATTATTATTACGATGAAGTTATAATAAAGCATCGATAATTCTTGGTTTAATTTTTTCTGGGACACACTTTATATATAAAAAAAAAAATGTGGGGAAATAACCCGTATAACAGTTGTGGCAACTCTCGTGGAAATAAATACAATTCGAAAGCAAGTGAGAGAATAATGGTTGCATAGCTTAGATGAAAGTTCCTAATTTCTGTCGTCCCTTTTGGAATCTTTTGCAAAGGTAAAAAAATCCGCCGGGAATCGAACCCGGGTTACTGGCTCTCCCAACTACAATGCTCTTTCTGGCTCACATACTTTCTCTTCTCTCTCTTCCTTTCTTTGTCAGTCATCGATTGCTTAGTTTTGATTGAAAAATAAGAGGAATCGAGACATTCCATGATTAGGCACATTAGGTCGTTTTCTTACTGTGACCACCCCCAATTTTTTTTAAAGGGTGAGCTGAGAATACAAGGTATATACATTGCGCGATAACATTATACGGGATTCTTTTTTTCCTTCTTTAATTCTTACTTTATTTCTTCGCTTTCCCTGTTCCTACACATCAAAAACCAAAATAACATCAATCCTATGGAATAAAAAAAAATACTCTTTTGCACCATTATTGCCTAATAATGATACATCACTCAGCATTAAAACAAACAAATGTAAACATTACTTTACCGATTTTCACGTCCACGACGTCTTGGTCATTAAAGATCAAAATGATATTCTGTACACTATGAACAACGCTTTCTATAATTGATCGGGCATATAATCCTAAGGGACTAACTTCTCTCTATAGCTGTTGTCAGATCTAAGAAAATTATCCGTGTGTGTAGGAGATCCTCTCTTCAACTTATATCAATGCAACTGGAGATCGTCGAGTTATAGTACGTTTTCCTTAAAGTTCAAGCTTTATGCATTTTTAGCAAATGCTGAACCGTGTATAATATGTTGATTTTGATCTTTACGTTTCCACATTCACCCATTGATCAGTTGTAATGTACATGTAGTGTACATGGGAAAACATATAAAACATAAATAATAAATTCATTTTTATAAATTTACATATGCAATACCTTCACAGTTTTTTCTCATTAATGTAGACATAATAATTTCCTTGACAACTGTGACAGAAACCAACTCTCTATCGAAAACAAGATAAACTACTTTATATCTCGCATGCCATTGTGGAACATGTATCTACTTTTATTTTCTGTTTTTTTTACTATTTGATAAAGTAGGGGCGGTATTTTTGTTTATTTCAAAGGCCTAAACCCGCATTCGGCCACACTATTACAGCCAGAAATAAAACACGTCAATCAGTAATATGATGAAGGCTCTATTGCAGGTATTCGATGGTGCAACCATTCAAAAGATCATCTGCATGCATTGCAGATTTGACCATGATTTTGCCCAAGATTGCAGATTAGTAACGATGCAGTCACCAATCCGCTTCATAATTTTGTTGGTAACTTTTCCATGCTGTGACGATCCTCTATCGTTTTTCTAAATGAGAGAGTTGTGAGAAAAATAACAAAATACTAAAATTTAAAGAGTAGACAACGATTTAAAATGGTTTATTGACAGGCTGACAAAATGTAGGTCAAGAGGTTGTTTACATTTTTGAGGGAAATTCACGCGCTAGGAAATGTAATACTTTGTATTACATTGGAAGGAAATGTACAAGCGTATGTACGCTTATCAAGCAAGCGCGGAAAATACCGCCAGCAAATTAAAAATAGCACGAAGGGGCTTTCATTCTAGTTATGGCTTTCATTTTGAATGGACAAGAAGAAAAATTTACGGAGTCTAAAACATTATTAGAGGATTTGGATTAATACTAAAGTTAGCACTGCACTGGAATAATTAGTTGGATATATAACGCTGAATTATTTCTTCTCGTGAGCGACCAGCGGGATTATACTCGGGTTTTGGGCTGGCCTTTGTCGTTGGGCCTGATTAGAAAGGAGAGTCCATATCATTATTTTGGCCTGGTCGCACATCACACAGTGGCATCACGGCATAGGCGGGATCGAATGCTGCGCTTCACGGACGTGGCAGTCACCGGCAGTGCACCACATCGCCGGGTGAGTCTCTCTTAGTTTAAGGGAACCGAAAACTGATCCGAGGGGAAACGGTTGCACCATTTCAATACACGAAATTGAGGCGGGTAGTTGTCCCGTAAAGGCGGTCCTTATATATTTGAAAATGCGCCCGGGAAGTGGGGAGGCTTTCTTTTGCTCATATGGTTCACTTCCTCTCACCAAGCATGAGTTCAGTGCCATGATAAAGAGATGCATGTCATACAGAGATGTTGGCGGCCAAATGTTGGCTATGGCGGGCTGCTCGGACGCCCAAATACAGCACATGGGTCGATGTGCTTCCTCAGCGCATCGCAGATATATTGATACGGTTGTTTAAATATGAGCAATGTTGCAAAGTACCGTTGGGGTTGATTTGATTTGATTTGATTTGATTCGCCAGGTATACGTACAAAATATAACAGAGTGAATGATGAGGTTAACGTGTCCGGGGCCAATAATGTAAGGGTGAGGCCGCATACACAGGAATGAATATATGTACAACACACAGAGGAATAAGTCCCTCGCCTCGAGAGGTTAAATAAGCTAATAATAATAATAGCAATAATAATAATAATGGTGCTACAACATGAAAATGAAAACGAAGTCAAGCAGACAACAAACATACATGCAGAACAAGAGCAAGAAAACACAATGGGATTTCAAGTTCACATTAACGCATGTTCTTTGGAATACAAAATGCTGCCCAGTCCTCTTTTCTTATTTTGTCCACAGAACAAATATGGATAGTAGGCGACTCCATCGTTTTCTGGGCCCATCGCAGGGCGGAGCGGACTGGCTGCGCCGATATGGATTTGGGGACGGTCATCCATTGGGCTGGAAAGCGGGGCCTTCGCTTGGACCAAACAAACGCATGGCTAGAGTCGATTACCAGTGGCCTGACGAAGCCGACCGTTTTAGTGTTACACGTGGGCACGAATGACATAGAGGGATGTTCGAAGAGGGCGATGGCGAATTCGGTGAACAGATTAATCACATCGAACACTGAGACGACAATAATATGGTCTGACAGCCTAGAACGGGTAGAATATAAATGCTGTAGTCCGGAAGAGCAGAAAAAATTAGACGATAGAAGGAGGGCCACGAACCGATACGCTAGCGCCTTGGCCGGCAGGAATGGGGGAAAGGCCATTCCACACCCCGACATAAGGCATAAGGATAGGGCTTTATATAGGCCGGACGGATTGCATCTCTCTAATGAGGGTTTGGACAGGTTTATTACTGACCTGAAGGAGGGCCTGTCCTATCTCGGTTCATCCAAGTAGTTAAACAATGATAATGTTACAAAATACGTTGTTCTTATATTTCAATGTTCTTATAGTTCAGTGTTCTTATATGTCAGCGTTCTTATATTTCAATGTTTAAGTCTGTTCGGGTAGCAAAGTAAATCCCGCCCAATAAACAGAACACTAAAAAGTAACCTCTTTTGGGAGTGTATTTTAAGTGATTTTAAAGTATAGCGCCTTTTGAACTAGATTTAAACGTTATCGACACGTGCCTTCATTTAAACAAAAAAGGTATTCCTGTTCACGTTTTCATCTAACCTAAAAACCACCAGTTTATCACGCGACTGGAATAACGTGATTCCACTTACCTCTGTAAGTGGAGTGTTTATGACCAAATAACCACTTGACCAGGCAACGAGTTTTTTGTCCGTTAACCGATGGTGGCGATAAATACGTAATTATTTGGTCTTGTAAGCACCTTTATCGATTGGTTTCACAGGTTATCCAAGGTTGATGGTAATAATCACGTTGCTTACACCGGCTAATCGTCTTATTGTTTTGTCCGCGAATCTCTGGTTATATTAAATTAGTAATTCGGAGGTGTCTTACACACCTATTTAAATGGTTTCAAAGTTACCATAAATTTATTGGTTATGATCACGTGGCTCAAGCTGATTACTAATCCAAGCTGTGAATCCATGATATGTAGGTGTGAACAATGAGTTATTATTAATTGAAAAATTAGTAATGATTAGGTGTCTTAAAGCACGTATTTAAATGGTAGTCAAAGTTGCCATAAGTTCCGCGGTGATGATCCCGTGAGTCAAACGGATTATTAATCTAAGCTGGGCATACGTGACTTTTAGGTGTGAAAAATTAGTAATTATTAGGTGTCTTAAAACACCTATTTAAATGGTAGTCAAAGTTGCCAGCAGTTCCGCGGTGATGATCTCGTGACTTAAACGGAATATTAATCTAAGCTGGGCATACGTGACTTTTAGGTGTGAATAATTAGTCATGATTAGGTGTCTTAAAACACCTATTTGAATGGTAGTCAACGTTGCCAGCAGTTCCGCGGTGATGATATCGTGACTCAAACGGATTATTTATATAAGCTGGGTATTCCGTGTTTTTCAGGTGTGAAAATGAGTTATTCTTGGGTGTATTGATGGTTTCACAGTTACCATTTAAGTTCCGTGGTGATAATACCGTGACTATTGGCATATTTTTATGTTCACCAGTTGATAACTGACTGTTGGCATATTTTCATTGCACCAGTTGATAACTGGAGTGTGCATATTTCCAGTTGCACCGGTTGATGACTGAGTGTTGGCATATTTCGAGTTGAACCAGCTGACACCAGTTAATTTGCATATTGAAAATGGGGTGCGTGCAGATCTATGTTTTTTAAACAATTTATCTGAATTTACAGCATATTTCTTAATTACTGATGATTTAGTTATATGCAATTCATTTCGAAAATAATACAAATATAAATTACCAGTTATTAGGACATTTCGCTACTTCGTATAAATTACATTTAGTTAAACATGAATAAGGGAAACATTAACTATGAACTAAAATAATTTCAAATGATTCATCTCAAGTCAGCCTCGTAATATTCACGTGAATTTCACGCAGATATTTTGACTAAAACTATCACTAACGCTTCACGTGTTTCTGTGACGCGATAATTTCGTTTATGAAGATGTAATTTCATAAACAAACAAACACGGGAGTATTAAGTTTACAAACCAAGGTCTCCAAGGTAGGGATAATCACGTTATTATAATGGTGATATTGCAGTGACAATTGCGTGATTTAGTGTACGTGTGTTTTAAGTTACCTAGTGCAATAAACGTATTAACACATTTACGTAAATGTCAGGTGTTTGAAGAACGTAACTGTCCTCAAGTCGATACCTTGATATTGACGTGATTTTCACGTGATTTTGTTTATTGGGCGCAAAAAAGTTTGAGTCCGGCACCGCAAGATCATGTTCTTGTTGTTGGGATAAGAGTGCCTTATTTTGGGAGTAACAAAGTTGTGGAGAGTAAATAATGGTTATATGGGGCAGGTTTAGGTGGACATTGGTAAATGACCAGTAAATGCTTCATTTCGAAATGGGCATTAACGGTTTAGTCACTTCTTTGAGGGGAATGAATTAGGCATAATGATGTGCCGGTGTTGTAGAGAAAAGTTTATTACGATACTCTGTAGTCTGTTAGAGGGTTATAAATTAGCTAAGGGCGAAAAAGTACATGCCTGTACATGTACATTGGTTAATTTGGCCAATTGAAATGTTAATTCCACCAAAGTGTAAATAGTTAAGCATAGATATTCCCTTAGGGCACAGAAATCGTTCATAATTACAACAAGTTAATACGCGTCAGGGGACAAAACCTAATGAGGTATGACGTATTGTTTTCATTTACATACAGCCAATCAGAGCCCATTGGTGGTACTGATTAATGAATATTCATATAACTATCACGAGTTGACCTTATTCGCATACGCGCAATGTAAAACAGATTAAACCAATTAGCGCGTAGTGTGCACATTGCATACGCGCGCGCCAGTCGTTGAGAGCCGTTGGGAGGTCATAAGGAATGAATATTTATGAAGTGATCCCGCTCTAACCTTATGCGACATCATACTCTAACGATAGTTGTCCAATCAGCATCGCGTATTACAATTGTTGCACGCGCATGCTATTGTGTGTACACCTATGGCATGGTCAAAATGGCCTTGCTAGCTAGTCGGATTGACAAGGTTTATGAATATTGACAAGGTACCTATGGCGAATTTTTGCAAATTGCCACGAAATTTCTCATGAATGTGCATAAGGATCTGTTGCAACTACTTATGTAGGTTTTTTGTGAATGAACAACGTGTCGACAGTGAAACGCCCCGCCAAAGTTGGAAATCCGGTTGGAAATATTCCACCTCGCGTCAATGTGAAAACGCGTGTTGTGGCAGGCTAATTGCCCTAGAAAGTGCCATGTAAGCTATTTTTCAACTCGAAAGGTACCTATGTAAAATTTTCACAAAAGTAGACAAATTTGGCATCTACAGCAAGTCTTATACCTGAATTTTCTAAAAAGCGGGTTCTTTTGTACATCAAGATATATTCGGGGAGATATGAGCTCGTAAAATGGACAGTGTGTGTAAAAGCCCATACCTGATTGTGCGCCCTTTTGTGGTGCGTTTTGAATACGCTTGGCCTCTATGGAGATGTCCCTCAACTTATTGTAATGTGATGACAACGTTGTGATTTGGCGGCCGATCATATATAAATATATTCTCGTTTGGCGGTAATTTGTCAAATTATGCCTCCAAATCACTAATCACATGGTACTGATAAGTTTATTGATCAATAATTGTCATCCGATAATTTTCGACCCCACTCAATTTTTACATGCGAGGGGGTTGCCAATGTATATTCAGTCGAATTTGTTCGCATGTCAATTCTTAGTTTTCCGGCCCCCATTCGATTTGAATGCGGGGGGACCTAGTTGTACCTACACATTTTCAAACTCAGAGTGTCACGCTTTAATCTTAGGCATCATCCGATCTTACAGGCGGAGAGGCTGGTATATATATACATCTATATTCTATAACTTTAGGCATCACTCGATTTTATAGGCGGGGGGCTGATATAATGACTTAATGTATATAAGTTTAGCCTAGGCATCACTCGATTTCATAGGCGGGGGGCCTAGCATAACTTTAGGCATCACTCGATTTTATAGGCGGGGGGCTGATATAATGACTTAATGTATATAAGTTTAGCCTAGGCATCACTCGATTTCATAGGCGGGGGGCCTAGCATTGCATTTGTAAGCATTTTTTATGATTCAATATATCTGGGTTATTTTGTTATGACACCCAGAAAATCAAAATGTGCAAAATAAGCGTCCATCTCAAAATGTTAATAAAGCCACGACATAAACGCAAATTTGGTTGTTTGTTATTTTTGTTAGCCGTGAATAATTGTTTTTTAAAGAATGTAGTGGTCTACATGATACAAATTTGGTTATAGCTCACATTCATAGCCCAAACATGAATCTAAACATATTTTTCACAGATTCAGTGTCTACCAGTGTATGTGTTTGCAAAGTCAGAAGTAACTAAAAAGAAACTTAAGAAAATTAACTTGTTTTTCTGATGTTTGTTAGAGTTGTTCACAATTTCCGCCAACATTTCCTGCAAAAACAATATGAGGCATCATTTGTCTATAAAGCACATGTTTACCGATGTGTACGTGTGCAAGGGGGGGGGGGTAAATTGACCCCCTCCCCAATCCCTTTTCCCCGGATCTCGTCCATTCTAAACTTGGTAAAAAGATTGAAGGATCTTAACAGATGATACAGTCATTATTATTGGTACATTAGAGGCAACCTACATTCCAAACATTTCACCATCTTCCAGCGTCTCGGGTAGCTTCTTGCCCCTGGTCTCAGGGAGGATGAGGCATAGAGCGGCCGTCACCAGAGCAGCTATGGTCTGGAGAACAAGAGGACCAGGTGGCCATACATCATAGAGGAGGAGCATGAGAGGGGTTGCTATAGCAACAACACGAGATGCCGAGGAGCAGATGCCAATGCCCACACTCCTTTTATGTATGAGAAGGAAAGAAGGATGGGATAGATTTTGATATGGTAGATGATTCGCACAGCTGTTAATTCCCTTTCGCGTAAAAACAAACAAAAAGGAAGGTACCAAAAAATACAAATTATTAAAAATTAGTTACTCAAATTATAGTGAGAGGAATGTAATATAACTAATATCGAATAATGTCGCTATTTAATTTTGTATAAATAGTTTTTAACATAAAACATCAGTTGAATGTTTAGATTAGATTTCCTTTCTGAGCATAAATGTAATACCAATATAATATAGTCTCTACTCCTTCTCCAGTGTTACTGGCTTGATCTTTCTTTTCTGTTTCTTGGTGCAGTAATGTCATCAGATATGTCTTTTATATTATAACAATAATATAAAGGAGCTTATTAAGACCAATATCAATCAGCGTGTTACCTCGTCACAATCGGCAATATTTCAAAGGGGTATATCAATCCAATCGCCCAGGAACCAGCGATACCAAACTTCCCCACCATGGCTACCCCAGTTTTTGCGGCACCGACAGCTGTAACAGAATGAACAGAGAAATAGCACTAGGACGTGAATCTAAAATTAAATTTTTTGTTTATAATCTCATTTTAGTTAGATTCATCAAGAACATGTCCCTCGGAGAGGACCTAAATCCGTCGGTCCTCTGGTTGCTTACTAACAAGCATTTATGCTTTCTTAGCAGTCAGGTAAAATAACTACTACTACTACTACTAGCCTACATGTTAACACGTTAACCGAGTGGAACCGGGTGATTCCTATAATAATTCTATGGAAAAGCTAATAGTTCAGAGTCAAAGCGTTAAAGAGTGTAGTGCAATAAATTTGAGACAAGCCCGACCAGTAAACAATAGGTTTCCAATAAGCCTAGCCCTTCCCATACCCTCCCCTAACCAGTGGTTTCGATCTCTTGCATCTCATCCATTTAGTATCAATGATACCCCCCCCCCCCCCCCCATGATGCAAGCCCACTCAATGACTGGTCTCACGCTGCGCCACTCAATAGGGGGGGGGGGGTTGTGTATTCTTAGTATATCATGGAAAATGATATAATACGGATTCAATATCTCGCCTCTTACCAAGAAAAAGCATGAAACATTATAATAGAAAATAAGATCTACAAACTACAAACCCTACGAACCCTAGGTACAAAGTTTTGTTCCTCCTTTCCAGGGGGTATTCTTCCGAATTGTAGATGAGACCATGGGAGCGGGAGCCCACTAGACCGATAGCCGGTGAGACCGATGTCGATTCCGCGCCATGTCCGTTTCGGGGGATTTCCCCAAATGACTTTACTTACGGATGAAAATGGCGATACAACTAGCGATGCCGGATATGGCGAGACAAGCGATGAGGCTGTATCGACGTCCAACCCGTTCGATAACTAGGATGCAAATGATCATAGCAACTATTTCTACCACTGCTGAGATAAGAAAACTAAGGTAGATATTGACCCCGAAGCTACCCGTGCTTAGATGCAATCCGTAGAAGATCAGGTTATTGGTCATCCTCTAAGAGAGATAGATTGAATAAAAAAAGGTCTTAACTTTAGAAATGTGTTGTTAGAAGAAAATGTTGAGAATATGTTGGAAGGAAAGTTACAAGTTATGACTTCGTAAGAGATCAAAGAGGAAGTACATTCCACCGCGTGACAAAAAGATAGAACGTATCAATTGAAGTACTGTGGCCTTACCTGAAGACGAGTAGATAATGATATTTTGTGAGATAATTAAGCAAAGAGACACTGAGGGCTTGTGGAGAAGAGACAGACAAATATTTTAGATTAACCGACGAAACTAAACGGTCAACAGGGCTGTCGCTTGTCTTAGTTAATTGTACATGGTTCAAGACAGAATACTCTAGAGAACAATAATCAATATGTTTACAGAGGGTAAACCAAGACCCCTAGGACAAAGACGGCGATACAAGTCAGTTGAGATCATTAACGACGAAACTAGTTCCTTTAATTTATGCGGCGTGCAGGTGGATGCACCAACAAACAACGCTCAAGCATTTATCCGTTTGAGCCGTGAAACCCATGATCTGCGACCAAACATATGCCACTCTCAACCCAGGTGTAGTAAAGAGATATCTTGAAGAGAGGAATTGATTGAATGCTGTCATTAAATCAACCGGCGCCTTGAGCATCCCTATAGGATGGATATCTGCGTGATATAAACGTACCTTTCAACAATTCTTTATTATTATTACTATTATTACCTTTCTGGTTGATATTCCAACGTTCGGTCTGATTAACATTAATGCACTTACCAAACACTGATCAACACGATCATTCTTTTTCGTAGGACAGGTGTTCGAAAGAGATCGATAAGATTCGGATCATGGTTCCTCTCAGGATTTGTCGTTTCCTTTGTGGAAAATAAAGAGGAGTATATACGAGAATTACCTTTGGTAGAAAATATTAGCAAAGAACACAACATCTCCCTCTGTGAAGAGTAAAGGCAAGAATTGTTAGTTTACATTGGTAAGCCAATTTTGTAAACAACATTTATCATAAATTATTCATAAAAGGAAAAGTGCCTAAGGAAACCCTTACACCCACCATTCCAACACATGCGGACACATACGCCCACGCGTTCACGCGCACACACATTTACCAGGGGCTGATTTTCTAACTCAATTCGTGTGATTTGGTGTATACTTTTTGCCAGGATATCATTTAAAATCTGTGACTTTTTCAGTATAAGTTCGTGATAAGCCTTGGATATCTTGGAGGTTCTCCTTGGGAAAAGACTGTAAACACAAGACGCGGGACTATGTTTGCAGTCCGCATGGATATAGTAAATGTATTACTAAACACAGTAATGATTCCCTCAACAAGATCAAGAGTTCATCGAGTATAACGTTTATCCTTTTTTATTTAATTTCTAAACAAGATCTTCAATTGCAACAATGTTGACAACCAAATAACTAACGCAGTGCAAAAAATTACACCTTATAAATAGGGAAAACAATCCAAACAAGTAAGAAACATATCAACTTTTAAATCATTACCATTATTCGAACAGTTGATGAAGATGTATTTATTTTTTTAGTATGTTCTAGTAGGGTATCTCCACGCCGGAGTTAGGGGTCAAAGTATGGATATGATTCTGAATTAGCGCTATTTTTGCGGGTTTGTTTTGTTGTTGCTTAATTAGGTTCGCTCAAGCGCGCTTTTAGGTGAATGTGGTCCCGCATTTCGCAGAAAAAAATGGAGTTTTTTTTTGCCGGGGCCTTCGTTGGTTTCCTTATATTCTCTTTAACATACTTTTTTTTTTTAAGTAATTGGGGTTTGAGCCCCTCCCCCCTGATTATTATGTAACGACCAGCATGATGATTTGACAGATGGACCTGAAGCTAACTGAGTCTTGATATACTTTTGATTGTTGTAACTTGTAAGACCCAGTGTAGAGCGAGTATCGGCCTAAAACACGAATTAGGGCTAGTTCTGACCTAAAAACGACCTCAATCTCTGAGCTAGCTGGACCTGCCTATTTACGGATCAGGGGCGGATCTAGCTCTTTGCTAGGGGGTGCTGCGAGCCGCGTAGCGGCGAGGCGATTTTTTTTTCTGTGGTCCTACTTACCCCCGTAAGTGATGTTTTCCTGGCATCTACTAACACAATGAAGACCATAAAAAGTCTGGACACATGATGGCGTTTTTCTATGCACATCATATTTTCACTTGGCAGCCCAAGGGGGTGGGGTTAATCCCCCCAACCACCCCCGTAGATCCGCCCCTGCGGATAAAAGAGTTCCTTGGGTCCACTTCTAACTCGTGTTTTAGCCCTTCTTTCTTTCCCTTTCCTTCCCTTCCCTTTCATCTCCGGGCCCGTCGCCCCCGTGTATCCACGTATGCATATACACACATACACACACACGCACACATTTATAAATAGTGACAAACTAAAAAGAAATATCAAGACTTAAATCGTATCAAAACAAAATTAATAAATCAACAGAAATGGTAGAACATTTCCGTTTCTAAAATATTTTCACCATAGAGCCGTTTCTTGATTTAAACATATCAAAGCCAAGGTATCATTGTTTGAACATTACCCTTGTCCTGTAAAAGTTGTGCTGGTAGAAGAAATCATCTGTGAGTTTGACCTTGTTGATCTTAGCTACCCTTTTAACAGTTGCTTGAGCCTCTTTATACCGACCTTTAGAGATTTGCCAACGTACTGATTCTGGGATGAAGCTAAAATCATCGACATGAAGGAAATAAAAATAAAACTGTCCGGACAAGCAGGCAATGTTGTTTTAGTGAGAACTATTTTTACTTGATTTTATTGTTGTTTTAATTTCGGGACATGATGATAAAGACATATAATCTTTCCTTTCGGAAAACCATAGCCATTGTCCAAATTGGAAATGCCATCCTTCGGGTAGTATCTTCGAGCTCTACTGTAAAAAGTTTCATTTGGAAATTATAAACAAAATTATAGATTGGTGTCATAATACAATTTGGTTTATATTTGAAATAGAATTCCTTAAAGTAATTTGTTTTCCCTTAGAGTATATTATATTCGTACATTCAAGAGTAGATAATTTATTTAAGACCATGGTTACAACATTATTTTTTTTTAATTCTCACGCCAGTTTCAAACAAATGGAGAATTACCCCCCGAGGACATTTACCCCCCAAGGACAATTACCCCCCGGAAAATTACCCCCGGAGAATTACCCCCCGATGACAACTACCCCCGAGGACAACTACCCCGAGGACAATTACCCCCCTGAGGCCAACTACCCCACGAGGACAACTACCCCCCGAGGACAATTACCCCCCAAGGACAACTACCCTCGAGGACAACAGACTATCCCCCAGGAAAATGACCCCCGAGGAGAACTACCCCTCCCCCTCCGAGGACAACCCCCCCCCCCCACGAAGACAATAGGGACTTTTAGATTTGCACAACGACAACGTGGATTGCTACGATCGACGTCCTTTTAATGCATTGCCTTGAATGGACGTCACACGTATCAGTCCACGCAAATCTAAAAGTCCCTATTAACCCCCGAAGGACAACTACCCCCAATGACAATCACCCCCGAGGAATTTATAACACTGTGACGTATAATGCAAGATTCTCTCCAAATTGCTATTTACAGAAAACTTCATAAACCTTCATTTTCTTTGTTTTTTTATGAAGTTCATTTCAGTCTTTTCAAATTATTCAATTCGATATGGTGGGGTTGAGGTTGCCCAATTCCCCCGTAGTTTTGCTACCGAGTAAAGAACAGAAATTACATTTCTTAGAAATTGAACAATTCATTGCGCGCAGATGAGTACGCGTTACAGCCTCTCTCACCAACAATGGCACAACAAAGAAATTAGGATGTAAGATGTCTTTTATACATCCTCTGTAATGTTTTTAATCAGCTGATCGTGTATTTGTCTTTGTATGTATAATGGGCCCTCATCCATTATCCAAAATTAAAGTTTTCTTCACGTTATCAATTCATCTCTGTTGTCATGCTGACGTATAATATGTTTTCGTGTACGTTAAATAATTTTGAAATAGAAATTGCCTTATATGTACGGTGCCATGTCAAAAGAAGATAAATATCCGCTCTCTGGTGATTCATCTCATTTGATTTTGTAACTCCAGCACAGTGTTTTTCAACTGGGGTGCCGCAAGAGAATGATTTGGAAAACGTTGATTTTGTAAAAAAAAATCAAATATCAGAAACGGTTAAAATATGTAATAACATGAGAAAATACATTTTTGAAGACATTAAAGTGTCTTCTTTCCTCGGTCGCTGACAATATTTTGACAGCAAGGGCAACGAGAGGCCCGAATATCCTCATATTCGTGTATCAAAGTCGTGACCGTTTACATCACTTTTTATTCATGTACATTCGGCTGCAAGGTGCACGCATACAGTACTTTAAATCGTTTCTAGTGTGTGGATTACAAACCAATTTTTTACCAGTTTGAAAATGTCTTTTCCTTTTTATTGTTAAATGTGTCCATACGTGTGTGCATAGCACTTGACGAGTGCCAGAGTCATGCAAAATTAATAGTCGGTAAAGAGTTTGGGATTTGGGAGAAACATTTCATTTCTTAAGGGGGTACCGTGACTAACAAAAAATTAAAGGTTCTCGGACAATTACCCCCTGGGCCCAAATTATGACAATTTGTGTGATATTAGATTGATTATTATAGAAGTGGACACTGCATGGTGGACATACATCTGGACTTGCAAAACTTTGAGAAATACATATTCTTTACTGTCCTATTACCTTCTATTCCTTGGAAATGGATAGGATAAGTTTTAAAATGAAGTTTAAAATTATTGTGTTACAGCCAAATTTACAGATTTCTCTTGTTAAGTATACTTCTAATTTTCTATTGAAGATGTAAAGTAACGGTGTTTTAAAATTGAAATTTTTAAACTACATACTTTTTAATATCATGTATGATGAGAGAACTCTGAGTTTTCACTGTGATTCAAACTGATTTTGGAAATTAAAGTCCACAAATTATGTTACTGAATTTTAAATGTCGTGGACTTTATATTATTTGCATAGTGTGTGAGTGAAGAACTTCAAATCAATGCTAAATTTAGAAATCAGGAAAAATTATGGTTTATATTCTCTATTGACAAATAATGGTTACTTAAAAGCTGTTTAAAAAAACACAATATTAATCAGCGGTTTAGTTAAACCCTTAGTCAAACAGTAACAACCCTATTTGAATCCACCTTTGTTTTTATCAGTATAGAGTAAAAAAAAATGTACTTAATAAGTTAGTACAAAAAAAAAATGTTTTTACTCAATATTGATTAAGCAATTAAGCGTAACCCAGAAACCATCATACTCAATATTTGAGCAAAAAATTGCTCAAACAATTTGAGTCAAAACATGTACTCGTTAATTGAGTAGAATTTGGCTCAACTCATGAGCAGTTTCTTACTCGACATGAGTTGATTACGTTTCTACCCCGATGCTGAGTAAAAAAAGGGAACCGCTCAACAAAGGAGTAAATATTGAGTAAAGGTTGACTCATTCAAACTGAGTAGAGATTTAGTCTTTTATTGAGTAATATTTTTACTCAACAGATGAGTAGATTTGTTACTCAACACATGCTGAGTAAAGTTTACTCAAAAGTTGGGTGGTTCCCTTTTGACTACTTAAAAGAGTAACATTTTACTCAAATTGAGCAGTTTTCATTTAGAGTGTAGTAGTCGAACTCGCAGCCCGATTATGAGGTGACGGTTGCCTAACTACTGTATATTTCGATGTTCTCAGGCTGAAGGGGCTTATATGGCTGTAGTAGTGATAGTAGTGGTAGTAGTGGTAGTAGAAGTGGTTGTAATGGTAGTAGAAGTAGTAGTAGTATTAGTAGTAGAGGTAATAGTAGTAGCAGCAGCAGCAGCAGCGGCGGCAGTAATGTAGACCTGATTAGATAACTAGTTTAGCACTAGGGTAATTTGCCATATTAAAGGTCCATTATAGAAGGTCTTCGCTTGTCATTTGTCAAATTAGAAATAAAAAACAAAAAGAGGTATACTCACGGGTAAAAGAAGAAGTAGAGGGCAAAGGTCAAATGAAGTGCTAGGAGAAGATGGCGCCAATTGTTGATCAAATAGGCGTAGAAAGTGAGTAGAATATATCCTAACGGGAACGCAGCTGTCAACATGACGCCGACAAATGCACGTTTCGACGGACCTACAAACTCTGTACCTGAAGAAAGAAATACAAGAAAGTCTCGTTAACGGATAAATAGTAAAGTAATTCAGTACTTCATCTCGGAGAGATCAATAAATTAATTAATTATTACGAACCCGAAAATTCTTAATAACTTGTGATAATTTTGTTTAACATGGAACCAAAAACTGTTATCATTTGAATTCGTCTATATTCATCGCATTAAGATCATATTAATTGTTTTCGAGAAACCGTCTATAGTAATGTGTGATTAAGTAAGTGTGATTTATTTGTACAATACGGATAGATTTTAATGAAATATGTTTTAGCTTTCGAATGTGTTTGTTTCCATGTTACATATACAATCAGGATAATTTTCAAACAAAACATATTTATATATGCATGTATATATATATATATATATGCATGTATCTTACACAGCAAATTAATCCCATTTGGCTGTGAGTCGTAACCAAAAGCAGTTATACTATCGGTCCTAAGTCCCTTGAGTTTGCATCACACTAGGCAAACCCGAAACCCCCGAAACCACCGCAAAACTATTATAGAAGGGCACAGGACTAATAAGACTTATACCTAAAACTTGAAATATTTATTCGTTTTCGTAGCCCGGTAAAATTCCCATCCCTACTTAATAAACCATGAGAAGAGGGATATCCAATGAAATATAACATTATTGGTGAATAGCGCAACACATATGTAAAGAAAAATCAAGGATTTGTTAAAAGTGGGAGGAACAATTTTGCATAAGGATGCGGCGAAAAAGGAGGAAAAAACGTTTTTGGTTACATGTACCTTTGGTATATATAGTTTGACAGGCACACAGCTAAGTATGGTGCGCAATCTGTGTAGGTCCTACTTACATATACATGTACATGATTTGGTGTGTTAAAAGGGTTCATGGGATAGTTGTTACCCTCACCTCCAAAAATGTATTAATTTAATAAATAAATAAACCATAAATAAGGTGAAATCATAATAATATTACCAAATAAATAAATTAACATATATATTTTTTTTAATGAAAAAATAAAAAAAGAAATTGTTTTCCTTTAGACAAAGTGGGCTGGCTAACCTATTACATAAGAGATAAGAGCAAAGCCGAAACAGGCTGCCGCTTCTATTGTTCTCATCATGACGAAAGTAATATAGTTGGGTGAGAACGCAGCACCAATGCCGAACAACACAAAGATGATGTTACAAAGGATGAGGGTTACTTTCCTCCCGAATCTACAGGTACAAAGGACAAAGTAAACAAAGAAATCAAGGTACAAAATTACAGATAGACACACACACACACACTAAAAAAAAACCCGCCCATATTCAACCACTGTATGCAATTATAGATCCCTGTTGACATTTGTCTGTGATTTTCGTTTGCATCAAACGTGACAGAAGCGTACCTAATTTCATATTGAACATTACATGACTTGTGCGTAGTTGCACCAAAGGACATTGAAAAAGAGAGCCTGATAAAGGTTTATTAGATATTGTCTACCGGTAACGAAGGAAGTTAGCTGCTAATC